ACACAAAAGCCCGCTAAAAAAAAATAATAATAATTAGTTTTCCAAAAGTCCGGATTCTCGGGTGGTCCGGATTTTTGGCATCCGGATTTTTGGACTTTTACTGCACATACATACACATAGATACATACATACATACATACATACATATATATATATATATATACATATATATATATATATATATATATATATATATATATATATATATATATATATATATATATATATATATATATATATATATATATATATATATATATATATATATATGGGATAAAATCGTGACGAAAACAATGACTTTCGCTTTCTTTCATTCAAAAGATGTTACCGTAATCGCTTTTCAAATGGTTTTCAGTTAAAAAACTGTTGCATCACAAGTGAATTAGGATAGAATATTATTGTAATACAACAGTTCTTTAACTGAAAACCATTCGAAAAGCGATTACGGTAACATCTTTTGAACGAAAGAAAGCGAAAATCATTGCTTTCGTCACTTTCCACTGTAATACGTACGTCATTTCAGCAAAAATATTACATTTCCATATTCTCAGAAATAAATAGTAGTTTTGCTGAAACATAATGTATTTCAATGTAAATTAGGATAAACTACATGAAAACAAAAGAATTTACCTAACCTTCCGATGTTCAAGATATGTTACTCCTTTTTTTTAATAGTTTTCAGTTAAAATACTGTTATATTAGTGATATTCTATTCATACTGTGCTTGATATAATACATTCACGGAAATGTAATATTTTTGCAACTACAATGCTGATGTCAACACAAGCGTGGTTACAGCGAGACTGACTGAGTGAGGGTGATGATGCCCTATGTGTGTGTGTGTGAGGTAGCGGGAGCGGGCGGTGTGCAGTGTCGGTGCCGCGCGCGATTTGAATGTACTTCAATTACTTCAATGTACAGAATATTCCTTCGGCGGGGCAATCCGCTTATTTCCGAATCCGTGAATGCTAAATCCGCGTATGTGAAGGGCCGACTGTACAGTATGCCTGAATGGAAACTGATATGGGCAGTGGCATGGACAAACCTTGAAGTAAACATAATTTCAATTTTAAAATGTTGCTTCACATGTGATGTAGAGAGGGGACATGACTTGCAGTGCATCCCCTGGTATGGTGGTGATACTGTAGAAGCATTTTCACATTCTTGTTGATAATTTTATTACGATTTTTTATGACTTTCATTATTGTGTACAAGTTTGCTAATAGCTTTTCTTTTCTGTGTCTGAAGGGCGACCTGCTAGATTACTTGGAATGACTAGTGGAGACTTTTTTGAAGATGAAGCATTAACACTAAGCTGCACAACTCAGTATGCTAAAGACACTCAGGTAAGGGACTTATCATGTACAGGTATAACATTATTAGGTAAATCTGATGGACAAACACATATAAAAGATGGAAATGATGAATTAATATTTATCAAAACAGAGATGTAAAATAAGGACCACCCCTTACACTGTCCAATACAAGATTCTGATGTCTGTGTGGTTTCATTTGACACAGTAGCATGAATGGATGGGCAACCAATCCTTTGTTCATGGTTAAGTATTTAAATTAGTATTAGGTATAGAGGTAAAGAACAGAAATTCAAGTTATTATTTTTAAGCTTTCATTGGGGTCACTTCATGAACAAAATGTATTATTATTCAGTGGTATGGCTAAATGACAGATTATAAAATACAGTAATCACTTTATTCTTGTTAATACACCTTGATGATACTGTCACCATGTGGAATATGTAGAACATTTACACTAAAATTTAATCTGTACTTGTACAGGTTGTACCTCTCTAGTTCGGCATTCTGTGGTCCGGAAACTCCCGTGATCCGGAGCGATTTTAGTTTGCTCATGGAGAAAATTAATTTGAGTCTGGTACTTTCGATATTTGGCTAAATTTTGCCTTATTTACCATACTTTTTGCCTTATTTACCATACTTTTTGGGCGAATTACTACCTGTAATAAAGCAACATCCTAATAAACCAACGAAAATAACACATAAAATTAAATAAAAACTAAAAACAACACAGAAAAGTTTTTATGTTCTACAGCTTCAGCTAGAGTTGAGCATACGTCATCCGAGTAAAAACACACACAACAGCATTGGCTGTCCTTATGTTTTCAACTTTACCACCACTGGTGGATAGAATTTGGGTAGAATTTTTGTTTTAAATTCAGAAACATTAATTAAAATATATATGAACAGTAAATACCGGTAAATCTTGATTTCATATTCTTAGGTTTAGTAATGACGATATGTTTTCACATGTGCGCACTTACATACGTGAGCTCACTTTTTTCTTAACCATTAATGGTTAGCTACTTATATTGTTTCATTTATTGACATTAAATAACATTACTTAAAACAACCATATTAATTTTACAACAGTTACAACCAAGATCTTATTTTCTTCAGTTTTATATGTAGATCCAGTCAGTCACTGGTTTTGTAATCAACGAAAACAATGACGTCCCTTTTTCTCGTGTTTTTTAATATTCTACATATTATTAATGAATTGTATTGTTCATTTTGCACACATAAAAATTAATTAGATCAAAAAGACATTCAGTAATAAACAATAATGAATCTTTTGTACATAAGAGAAATGACACTGTTTACACGATTTGTGCACGTCTGAACGTTGGCGGGCCGCTCAAACCCGTCGAAATTCGAGTTTACGCAGTCAAAATTTTAAATTGCGTAGTGTTTTTTTTTGTGTCCAAATAAAAAATGTCAAATTAAAAACTCCCAAAATTTGAGAACCTACTGTATAACATTTGACCCTTCAATATATAGGTTGACAACCCTTTATTCGAAATTCCAAAAACCGAAAAGCTCTGAAAACCAAAAGTTTTTTTGTGGAATTTTATTTTATTATTATTATTATTTTTTTTTGGGCACGCCCACCCGGGCACAGGTCACTGACCCACATCGGGGCCTGGGGGGTGAAAATGTAATAGTAATAATAATAATGATAATAATAATGATAATACAGTAATAATAATAATTATTCATAGTAAATAAAATTTTTAATAAAAAATACAAAAAATAAAATAAGAATGATAACAATAATAATAATAACAATAATACTGTAATAATAATAATAATAATAATAAAGAAATACAAGAATGAAAAAAAGATCAAAAGTGAGAAACACGACCTAGACCTATGAATTATTATTATTATTATTTTTATTAATTTTTTAGCCCCCAGGCCCCAATGTGGGTCATGACCTGTGCCCGGGTGGGCTGATCCCTGTAAAAAAAAAAAAATAACTAACCATTCTGAAAACCGAAAAATTCCAAAAACCGAAATGCATCTGGTCCCAAGGATTTCGGATAAGGGATTGTCAACCTGTATCTTCAAAGAGACCACGAAGCATTGAAAGTGGTGCTAGTGCTTCCAAGTGTAAGCACAAGTCACTATCTATCCAGGAAAAGGGTGAATTTCCATGGTCCGGAAATTTCCATGGTCCGGCACCGGTCAGGTCCCGAGGTTGCCGGACTAGAGAGGTACAACCTGTACTGATATTTTTAGAAAATAATTTCAGATTAATGGGTTGTGTTTTATAAATTTTGTGAGGAATTTATTAAAGGAAGCTTTAAAAAGTTTAAAGGGAAATAATTAAAATTTCATGTGGTTGAAATTTCTGAAAAAGCTGGTTTAAACAAATCACATCAGAAAATTATGCTCTTGATATAATTGTGGATGATGGTTGATGTTAATTTGTGAATAAAATGCTGTACTGAAATTTTTCCCATATTTAGAGACCAAGTTTGTGGGGAAGTATTCTGTGTGTAAAGGCTTAGGACTTTGGGATATGTATCCCTTGCCAGCCTAATCAGGATCTTAAAAAGGGAAAGTCAAGAACCATGGGTTTCCAAGGGGTAACAAACAACCGTTAGAGATTGACATCTTTTTATTACGAAAATAAACACAGAAATTTACACCACTCACAGAAATATCAAATAAAATATTACGGGAGTCAAACAATTATGAGAGCCAAACAATTAATGGATATTTCCTACGGCGGCATCCTGGTGGAATGTTCCGTTGACATTTGTGGTGGTCCGCTCTCAGGGGCAAGGTCCAGGGCAGCTTCCTCACTTGGTGCCGGTGTTGGTGGGCGATGTCTTGCCACACAGGAGAGACGCCAGGGCACGGACGGTGGATAGGGCGTAGAGGAAGTGGCGATGACCTGGCAGCCACGGCAGTAGCTGGAGCAGGTGTCCAGAGGTTGACAGCCGAATAGTGAAAGTCTGGGGATCAGCCCACAAACCCCAGGAGCCTCAGATGAGCACACAACCAGAATTTGAACAAACAGCGGGATGCAAGCACAGCTGTGTTGACGGCTGGGTAGTGTCTGATGTGTGACGAAGCAGCAGCGACCTCACCTCCGTCTACCCCCCCCTAGTGGGGCCCGCGAACAAGCAAATGAGCGGTGGACAACTGTCCTGCTTGTTACAGCCCTTCCACTGTGAATCATTAATATTAAAGCTATTTCCTATTTCAAAAGATATCACAGAATCTTCATTAATCCGCGACGTGGTTTGGGGAGTAGATTAACGTCCACTAAGGTAAGGGACACCAAGGTTTAGGGCATATATCAACGTCCTTGAAAATTTTTAAATTCCCACTAATCTCTATGGGCCCTAGAGCTATAAATAAACATTTTGTGTTGTTTGGCATACATCCCCGCAGGCAGTCATGGGACTAGGCCTTTTAATATATATTTTTTCAAAATTTTTTTTGCAAAAAACCCCGAGGCTGAGCGTAAGTTTTCATGCACGTATGTGTCCCAGGCTCCTAGGCCTCTCCCACATACCACTTCCTAGCTTCATTTGTGATATTTTTAAAATTTTCCATCATTGGTATATACATCTGCATATCCATTCTGTCAATAACTGGAAAGTAAATCTAGCTTTGCCTCAAAGTCCATAAATTACTGCATGTATCCATAGCAAATGCATGATCATCATAGTTAAAAAAAATTATGCTCATTAAAATGCAGCTACTTCACCCATCTTTGGTTATATTTCAGCGATCTACAGTTAGGTGGCATTTCGAAGATGAGGTCCTTGACCCGAGCTTCTACGAGACCCGGATGTATCGCTTAGATTATAACATGACTGTCCATGAGCTGACCATCCCTCGGGCTGGAGAACAAAATGCAGGAAAATATCAGTGTGTAACACCATATGGCTCAGCTTCTAAAACAGTCAATTTATTTGGTTAGTAAGCTATCATAATTGAAAGTTTATTTATTGTTAGTGATAAGTGAATTTTTTTGTTCAATCACATAAAAGTTATTACATTGTCATTACAGATTACACTCGCTAAAAGAATATTCTGCACCCTTGGCTCTGAAACATCTTCAACAATCACTGTTACAGAAGCTATGATGACTGTTATCAGATTCTTGGTCCGGTTTGTCATATTCTATAACCCAGTAAAGGTGCAGAATAATCTTTTAGTCTGTGTACATTATCATTGATCATACTTCTGGTGCTCCAAGTGACACCTATAAGTACAGTATTCTTGTTTTTATTTTACTTCCCTTACATAGGCGTTATGTAGTCATACTTTTTGTGTTACTGTATATCTAACACCAATATATCAGTTCCTGTAAATTTTGGTTGGTTTCTGCATAATTTTAACTTCCTTACATTTTTTATTCATGTATCCATGTTTTTATATTTTACTTGTATATTAAACTCATTCAGGGTGATTAACTCCCTGGTAGCCCCAGAGTTTTGCTAATATGACCATTATATATGAATTGATTTCCATATTAGCAAATGTTTTTTAATGGCTTCAGTCACCTGCCAAACATTTCCCATTAGGTCATCCATGGTGGAAGGCTTAGTTTGGAAAATATTTCCCTTAAGTAAGCTACTAGCAAGTGAATCACCATGTACTATGAGTTTTAACCATCATCTCTTCATTCTCAGTACCCCCATCCCTCAGTGAGCCTCTGCCTTCAGAACTGCTGGTTAAAGAAGGTGAAGAGTTACGTATTACTTGCCAAACCATTGGCCGACCTCGACCTGTTGTACACTGGGAAAGAAAGATTGGTAAATATCCTTCAGTTCTACAGGGCAGTTTGCTCCAATGCAGATCAAGAGAAAAGAAGTGAAAAATAAGTTAATAAGTTTTGGGTTGATGTAGTGTTGGAGCTGGGCAAGAGAAAAATTGTAATAGTGGGTAGAGTGACCTTAACGATCTTGTTGGTGTACAGTACATATTGAGGGTAATGAAAGTGTGCATTGTGGAAAAGGCTACGGTACAAGGAATGTGGAAGGAGATAGAATACTGTACTTGAATCTGGGAATACAATAAACATAGTTGTATGCAGCACTTCATTTAAGATGAGCATGAGGGGGATGATTACGTTTGAGTCAGGTCACGTAAAAATACAGATTGGCTTCTTTCTCATTAGAAAATTAGAAAGAAAGCTCATTAAGGAGGTAAAAGTTATATTGGGGGAAGAATGTTCTTTGTAGCACAGATTACTTGTGCTGCCTTCTCGTGTATCAGAGGCTTAGCATACTTTACACTGCGATGTGTGCATTGTTCCTGATGGGCTGTCAAGTCTATGGGACCCACTTTCACTATATGGATTCCATATGATGTTTTTGTTTTACATATCTAGGAGAGCTGTGGCTGCCTGTGGATGAAGTATTGGGCAGAGATGTAGATACCGATGGAGTACTTACTGTTCCTGTAGCAGCAGTGAGTGATGCTGGGAATTACAGATGTGCAGCAAAAAGTGATGCAGGTTCCTTCCTTGCTGAAGTCGTTGTCAGTGTTGAACGTGAGTCAATTTATTCTTAACTTCCAATATAATTTTTTTGTAACTATTTGCAGATTGTTTAAGATTATAGGTATTCATTGAAACCACAATACTAGATCCTTGAAATTTGCTGAATTTCTGCTACAGAAGTAAGAATGGCAGAATTGTAACACATGTTTGTATTTCCTTTTGATTCTAGCCACTTTGCACTGTACAGTACTATAGGTAAAAGCTTGAATTTGAAAGGAAAATCTTTAACCCTTAAGCTCCGGGTTAGGGTGCTGCTGGCAGTGCCCTCCTGTGGGAATAAATTGAGAAAAACTAAACTTAAAAAAAAATAATAATACAGTACAATAAAATAAAATAAAATAAATAAATGCCGGGAAAATAGGCGGACGTTCTGGAATGTCTCCCGGGGCCTAAGGGTAAATTAATCTAAGTGTAATATATGAAATATTTAACTTTATGTTATCCACGAAACTTGTTATATAATTATACTGTATACTGTACTCTATAAAGTTTATAGTTTACCTATAAATTGGTATTAGTTCAATTTAATATTGTATTTTGTAAAAGGACGTGAATTAATTGTCCTCTGTAGCCCATAATAATACAACTGTTCATTCCTTATCTGCTTATTTATTGTTGTGTGGTTACTCTCTCTCTCTCTCTCTCTCTCTCTCTCTCGCTCTCGCTCTCGCTCTCGCTCTCGCTCTCTCGCTCTCTCGAGACATCTTCAGGTCATGATACCCACTAATCTCCCACCCAACAATGGGTGACCTGACATTGCAAAAGAAGGTCAGTAATATGAGACCACTAATCCCCCACCGTACCTCCACCTGACATTGCGTTAGGCCAGGTCACTTATATGAGACTTACTACTTGTATAGTGCGTTTTTTCCCAGCTGAGAAAAGACTCCCTGCCCCCTCCTCAAAAGTTATAGCTGATTGGCTGTTGCAAACCTGTCTGATTTTGTCCTTAAGTAATGATGTACAGTATTTCTGATTGAGTTTATTCATAATCGTTGAGATGACCTTTTCTGACGAGAAAGATTTTTAGCTAAATTATATAAAGATACATACATTCATTATTTCAAACATAAGCACGTGGGAAGTTTATCAGAAGTATTATACATGAATTAACTGTTAAACTCTGGTAGGAAATTCATGCTTTCGGTGAATGCATTTAATATATACTTATTTTTACCCACAATAAGGCATACTAAGACTAATTATGTATCAGTAATACTACATTATGCAAAAACAACATTTTAAAAGATCAGAATCACATTGAAATATTACACGACCGTCAGCAGAGGCGGGAAAAAATGACTGCGAAGAACTTCATATTTTTTCCGTCTTTGTTAACGGTCGTGTAATATATCAATGTGATTCTGATCTTTTAAAATGTTGTTTTTGCATAATGTAGTATTACTGATACATAATTAGTCTTAGTATGCCTTATTGTGGGTAAAAATATGTATATATTAAATGCATTCTCCGAAAGCATGAATTTGCTAAAGGAGTTTAGCAGTTAATTCATGTACAATGGTCCCTCGGTTAACGAGCACAATTCGTTCCAGAAGGTTGGTCGTTAACCGAAAAACTCGTTAACCGAAAACATTGTTTCAGTGGGTTTTTGGGTAGTTGGTTCCAGCTCACCGAAAATTGCCTAAAATCAACAAAAAAGGTAGTAAAGTACACTTACTTTGAGGTGTGTATGTAGAAGGCTCCTGGATGATGATGATGATGATGATGGGAATTAGAATGGGGGTGGAGGAGAAGGGAGAAGAGAAGGCATTGGGGTGGAAGAGAAGTCACCCAATGGTGCCATTTCACCCATAAAATTTTAGTTTTCTTGGTGTAATTCAAGATTATTTTTTTCAAACCAACACTGCACTGCATTATATATTGTCAATATGTAAAATAAATTTCAAATTGACCAATAATTTGCTTGGAAACACAGAAAAAAAGCTTTTAGTTGAAGAGAGTGTTCTGTTTAATTATAGCCCCATCTGCCTCTTCTAGATGGTTTCTATTTTATCACTTGTACTTTTCCCTGTTGGTAGAGTGAAGAATTAACCTTAACACTTTCCTCATATTTCTCATTACCAGCACAAGCAGTAGTGTATTGAATGTGTTTTTTATTTTGGTACAGAATTATAAGTCTTAAATCTTGAAAAATATCTTTGTTATTTATTATTCAAGAAGTTAACTATTCAATAAAACTTTACAGTACAACTTTAATGTAAATGCAAGAACTGATAAAATATGTACCCCAATAGAGACAATATCTGATTTGTGTTTGTTTTGTTGAAATGGTCCGACAAAACCTGATACAAGGATTTCCCCCAGGTGCATCCCCTGAGGTGTTTGATATGGCGGCCCCAGAGAGTGTTACAGTTGGAGACAACTTTACCATCCAGTGTTCTGTTATGAACTGGAATGGAGAGGTGAGACTTCTTATACAATTCACTGTCCTTAAAAATGTCACACAGAATCCATAATTAACATTTACATCATGAGGTAAGTTATTCGTGAAATTCTCCCCTGTACATTACTTTTCCAATTATGGTGATGAGAAGGAGTGAATGTCATAAGATGAAGGTACCTGTAGTCTAGGGTGTCCTTTGTCTCAGCCATCTTGCACATATTCCACAACTGTTGTGTTACAACTCTCATGGGTCCAGTTAAATTTTCCATGATATATTTTTATATGCTGTTCATCTTTGTGGAAGCCTCTGGCAACTTCCCCAAGGCAGTGTGAGCCTATCATCCATTAGTAGGGGACGGACCATGCTCATGTCAGAACTTATTGCATCCACTTGTTGTGTGGTGCCCCATGAAGGAGAAAATTGAAACTACATTAAAAAAATCCATAATTCGAAAAAATAGGTGCTCTAGCCTTTACAAATTATGAGAGTTTACGAAATATGAGGGAAATCCTCGAGGAAAAGGCCCAAAACAACGATACTTTTCCGTTGTCTGGCTTATTCAAAATTTTAACGTTTCTAAGTACAGTTCCTGAATTAGGGGTATCAGATAATGGCTCGGACATGGGCGATGATGGAAAAATCTTGTGTGGTAGACCATAGATGTGCATTCCATGACTGACCGATGGGAACTGACTGTGACCAACAGGCGCGATGCATATACTGTACTGTAGTACATGGTTAAAATGAGGCAGGTGGTCACTTCCTATTGCACCATGTGCGTCATATATATTTGTAAATGGCTCTCATAATCCGAACTTTTACCAAATACAGCATGCTGTGACAATTCACGGACCTCGATTATTCGCAGATGACACCCTGAATGTACCCTAGAATGTCTAATGGTCAAATGGTAGTTTTAAAGTTGCTGGCATTTTCACTGCCGGGACAGGGAGCCATTTGTTCTAGAGACAGTAATTTCTTTTACCTTTATTGTATATATATGTGTGTGTGTGTGTGTGTGTGTGTAGACACACACACACAAAACCACTTACAAATAAATAGTAATGGGAAAAACCTCTCACAAATAATCGGAAACAAGACAACAAAATGCATCAAAAATGTGAGAGTCTACCCTCAAGTCAACTCTGTGCTTTGTTATTAAAGTTAAAACAAAACATTTATTTGTATGTGTTTGGTGTGTCTGTGTGTGTGTCTACACTCACACACACATATATAATACAGGCAAAAGATATAATTGTCCTAAGGGCAAACACATAAGGAAATGTACATTTCTTTGCACACAAGTAAAAATGTAGCCCTCCCCCATCGGCAAATGATATTTGTGGATTTGGCTATTTGCGGCCATTTTGAAAACCTATTCACCGCGAATTTAAAAGACATGCTGTACTGGGGTAAAAATAGACTTTAGGCTAGATGGCAACTTGTTTAACATGAAGATTTCAGTCTACCATATAAGTAAAACCAATACTTTTCCTTGAGCTACAATATGCTGATGTCTGTTCCCTCGTGGTGCTCATAGTAGAAGAATGGGACTTTCTGTCAACACTCAAAAGACTAAAATTATGTTTCCAGCGGGATGCTGGTGCTTCACCTAAGTCACCAGTTTTTGCTATTGGTGAGATTGAATTGGCCACAATGCCAACCTTTAAATATATAGGAATTCCTTGCTTATAACTGTAACATAGATGAGAAAATTCAAAACTACTTTAACAAGCTTTGGCCTCTTTTGGTAGACTGAGAAAACATGTTTTCCAAAACAGTAACTCAATTACAAAAACAAAGATAACTGTGTACCGGGTAGTCTGTATAACAATACTTTTATATGGACATGAAGCATTGACGACTTATAGCCGTCACCTCAAATTACTGGAAGCATTCCACATTAAATGTTTAAATGCAGCAACATGAGGCATGGTTCAAAACTCTCACAACAGTTATAAATAAGTGAAATCACTGTGATATATAAGAAATCAGCACAAACCGCAAGAAAATGCCTGAAAAATGTAGATAAATGTTGTATCCTTGGTCCTTTAAACACAAAATGGAAACTGGTGTGGTGACCAGGTTGCTGATCTGACTTTCTGCCTCATTTACACACAATTGCAAGGTCTCAATTGTTTCTCTTACTTTGACAGCACAACATATAGTACATACAAGTGAACGTGGGCCCTTTGTGCCCGGTGAAAGTTTGAACGCTCGTGCTTGGCTAGCGTACAGCGAATGAGGGTACGCCAAGTCCGTAGACTTGCATCGTTTTCCATCGTAAATAAAATGGTTAATTAATGCCTTCCTAAAGAAACCGTCGACATGGGACCAGGTTTGTTCCACTCTACGAATTTTTTGCGATTTTTCCACCAAGTTTGATGAAAAACGATTGTGCCGTTTCGGCTGCCCAGAACAGACACACGGCTATTCCTATAGTATATTAGATATATCGTTTCTCACTACCTGTATTAATCGTTTCAAATTTTTGTATTTCTATATGGTTCTTTCTTATTATTATTATTATTATTATTATTCATATTATCATCATCATCAGTGTTATTATTATTATTATTATTTTAAATTTAATTTTGTATTTTTTCTATAAATTTTATGTACTATGATCTAATTATTATTATTATTGTTATTATTATTACATTTTCGTCTCCCAGGCCCCAAAGTGGGTCAGTGACCTGTTTAAAAAAAAAATCTATATAGTTGCCAGATTGCGCTGATGTTGCATATGAAACCCCAAAGCAGTGATTTAGATCATACACAATTTTGCATATAAAAACCCCAAGAGTGCTAAATACAGCATGTTGTGATATAGTAGAACGTCAATATAACATGAGATATGTTCCAAGAGAGGTCGCTTTAAACCGAATTCGCACTAAATCGAAGTGTTGTTTCAATGGAATAATTTAGTTTGGTACTTGAGAGAAACACAAAATACGAAAAAGATTGAGAGTACCCAAATGCACCTCAGCCCATCTCCTAGAATAAACAAAACATTGTTTTTTGTAGTATTATGTTAAAACAAACACTCATAAATCAACACAGCTAAAATTAAGGGATGTGAAATGGTCTGTTTACTGGCTGGGAAGATGGGAGGAGGGAGGGAGGTGAAGTGATATGTTTGACAGTTGATGCCAGAGTCTAGTGCTTACTTATTTATCTGTCCTTAAGAGTGACTTTAAGTTTTTCTGTTATAAAATGTCACTGAACTGACATGAGAGAATATAATTAAAATTGCTCGAATTCTTATAAGATAGTGATTAATTTGAATATAAACATGCTATAGCTTGCATTAGACATACAAATTTTAGTTCTAATTTAAGAATTTTATTACAAAGAGCAAAAATTTTTATCTCTTGTGCAAAATATATGACGTTTATATTCAAATTATTCACCGTCTTGCAAGGATTCTAACATTATAAATTATAGTCTCTTAACTTTAGTTTGTGACATTATATAAGATAAAAACTGTAAGCCTAAAACACCAAACCCTGGCTGGGAAGATGGGGGGTTGGGGGGGGGAAGTGACAGTGACATGTTTGACAGTTGGCACCGAAGGTCTAGTGAAGTATTTGTTTGTTTATTTATTTATGTCCTTTAGCTTGAGTTTATGTTTTTTGCTTATAAAATGTCATAGAAGAGACCAGGGAGAATATAATTTACATTGCTGGAATTCTTATAAGATACTGATTAATTTGAATATAATCATGCTATAGTTTGCACTAGACAAAAATTTTAGTAATCATTTAGTACATTATTTTGAGTACATGTACAGTACAGCTTTGCCCTTAGGACAGTGTAGCGTCCCTCGTGACGATCTTCAGGAGTGAAGTGCTTCCCCATCTGGAGTACTGTCACCCCATCTGGTCCCCGAGATATGCTAGGGACTGTCAGTTGGTTGAAAATGTTCAAAGGAGAGATTGGAGCGCCTGAACTTGCCTAGCTTATACTACAGACTGGCAAGGGGGGACCTAGTTGAGGTTTATAAGCATCTCAGGGGGCACTACTCAGTTGAGTGTCCTTACTTGGAGCTGGCGGACGCTCGCCCCACAAGGGGTCACAGCTCAAGATTGAAGAAGCCGCAAGTCCAGAAAACCGTGAGGGCAAACTTTTTCGGAGTGAGGGTTGTAAACTCTTGGAACAATCTACCAGAGAGTGTTGTGACGGCACCGAGTGTGAGCTCTTTCAAGAGAAGACTTGACCAACACTGGAGCGGGTTCAGGTACATTCAAGAGCCGATGCATGCCCAGTATTTGCCAACAGTGCGTGACAGAGACGTGACCGATCGCCCGGGCGGCTAGCGAGCCGATCTTTTGGTGAAGAATATAAATGAAAAGAGACGTGACCGATCGCCCAAGCGGCTAACAAGCCGATCAGTGGCGAAGAGGATAAAAGTAAAAAAAAATAAAAGAGAAACATTAGGCTTAAAATTTTAAATATGATGCGCCAGATTGACTCCCGCAAAATAGGAGAGATTCACTTTAATTTAATACATTGCCCTTAATTGTGGGTGTCGTCTTAAATCAATAATCATAAATTGAATCGCTTTAAATCGATGTTCTACTGTGTATGATTTATTTTTATTTTCTCACTGTCACTGTGATTTGGATATTATTTGAAGAAAAAAGATTCAGTCAAAAGGGTTTTTTATATTAAAATGTTTTTGTAAAAGCTTCAGAATACTTTCAACATATGATATCATTTGTTGCAGGTGGAGTTTATGTTCGAAGGTGCGTCCCTAAGTTCACATTTGGATAGTCGGTATAATGTGATCCTGTATCCATCTGACGATGGTATAGTACAAGCATACCTCATAGTTCAAGGAGCCTTGCCAGAAGACGCTGGCACTTACACATGCAGTGCTGGTTCACAGGCCTCGGAATCTGTTCTTGTAGAAGTCAGTAGTAAGTTACTCAACCTTATTTTTCTTTTTTAATATTTTATTGATTTCTTATATTTCTTTTATCTCCAAAGATGCAAATATGTATACAGTGGTCCCTCGATTAACGAACACAATTCGTTCCACAGAGTCGTTCTTTAACTGAATATTACAGGTTGTACCTCTCTAGTCCGGCAACCTCGGGACCTGACCAGTGCCGGACCATGGAAATTGCCGGACCATGGAAATTCACCCTTTTCCTGGATAGATAGTGACTTGTGCTTATGCTTCGAAGCACTAGCACCACTTTCTCTGCATCATGGTCTCTTTGAAGACATATTGAAGGGTTAAATGTCGTATAGTAGCTTCTCAAATTTCGCGAGTTTTTAATTCAACGTATTTTATTGGAACACAAAAAAAAATAAATAAAAATTGATGGCGGAAACTTGAATTTCGACGGGTTTGAACGGCCCGCCAATGTGCAGACGACGTGCATAATCGTGTAAACAGCGTCATTTCTCTTATGTACAAAAGATTCATTATTGTTTATTACTGAATGTCTTTTTTATTGAATTAATGTTTATGTGTGCAAAATGAGCAATACAATTCATTAATAATAAGTAGAATATTAAAACACACGAGGAAATGACACAGCATTGTTTTCGTTGATTACAAAACCAGTGACTGACTGGTTCTACATATAAAACTGAAGAAAATAAGACCTTGGTTGTAGCTGTAGTAAAATTAATATGGTTGTTTTAAGTAATGTTATTTAATGTTAATAAATGGAACAACAGAAGTAGCTAACGATAATGGTAAAGAAAAAAGAGAGATCGCGTATGTAAGTGCGCACATGTGAAAAGATATCGTCATTACTTTACATAAGAATATGAAAGCAACACTTATTTACTGTTCATATATACTTTAATTAATGTTTCTGAATTTGTTTTTATTAAATTAATGTTTGTGTGTGCAAAATTAACAATACAATTTATTAATAATACGTGGAATATTAAAACACACGAGGAGACGAGACGACTGCCGGCATTGTTTATGTTAAAGCTTACAAAACCAGTGACTGATTGGTTCTACATATAAAACTGAAGAAAATAAGACCCTGATTGTAGCTGTAGTAAAATTAATGTAAAAAAAATTAATATGGTTGTTTGAAGTACCTATAATGTTATTTAATGTTAATAAATGGAACAATATAAGTAGCTAACCATTAATGGTAAAAAAAAGTGAGACTGCGCATATGTAAGTGCGCACATGTGAAAACATATCGTCATTACTCTACATAAGAATATGAAAGCAACACTTATTTACTGCTCATATATATTGAAGGGTTAAATGTTGTACTCTGTATAGACAAGCAGAGAGAGAGAGCAGCCGAACTGCCGGATGTAAACAAAACTTAATTTCCCGCGGCTTTGTTGTTGTTTTTTTTTACGGGGATTAGCCCACCTGGGCATAGGTCACCGACCCACATTGGGGCCTGAGGGGCAAAAATTTAATACTCCTGTAATAATAATAATAATAATTCAGATAAGTAAAAAAAAAAAACCTACCTATCTACCAATTGGACAAACTAAAATTGTTCCGGACCAACGGAGTTTGCGTATCACAGAATGCCGGACTAGAGGGGTACAACCTATATTTCAATGGGATATTGGGTAATTGGTTTCAACTCACAGAAAAAGTACATACAATACTGTATACCGGTAATAGAATTAAAAAAACACTAGATATAAACTAAAATACAGTACTGTACTGTACAGTATACTGTATAATAATAAATGAAAAGCAATAGAATACTATATTTGAACTTACTTTGCACTATGTCATATTCCCTGCAGCTTTGTTTTCATATCAAACAGCTGATTGTAGAGGCAGTCAATGATAACATGCCACATTCTTTATAGAGTGTATTGGTTTTAATGCCTTCTTCATGTTTCATAATAATTTCTGCACTGTATATTATCAATATGTGAACTAAATTTCAGAATGACCAATAATTTTAATGTAAAAATGCAAAAATATTTAAGAGACCAACAAACTGGATGTTCACTCCACTGTAAACAAAGTTAAACTGAGAAGCGCTGGTGGGTGATTCGATCAGCTGAAGGGCACACAAAAACTGTTCCCTGCACTGTATACAGTATATTATCTATATGTTAACAAATAAGAATGACCATTAATTTTAATATAAATAATGCAAAAATATTCAAGAGCACGACTTTCTTCATATTTACTCCACTGGAAACTAATGTAAACATAGAACCAATTACTGTATTGGCGGACTAGCCGATCAGCTGATGCGCACAACAAAGCGTGTTTCTCGTAAGGCTATCGTTAATCTAAGTTTTGTTCGTTAAGGGAATTGAAGATTCTTATGGAAGGTAATTCGTTAACCGAAATTTCGTTAATCGAGGGACCACTGTATACAGTATATACAGTGATCCCTCGGTTAACGAAATTTCGGTTAATGAACTGCCTTCCATAAGAATCTTCAATTCGGTTAACGAACAAAAATTCGGTTCACGAATTTCTTACGAACCGACCTCAACATGTTTTCGCTTGCACTGGCCGGGCAACCAGCTTTAGTATCAGTCCGCCAATACAGTAATCGGTTTTAGGGCTTAAATTCCTTACTATTTTAGTAAATATCAAGAAGTTTATACTATTCAATAATTTTAAAAGTTTAATATTAACTTTTTTTAGTCATTTTAACAATTATTGAGCATAATTGAAGGTAAAGAAACTAGTTTCTGGCGTGCCATCCAGCCTGTTAACACACCAGACAGGCGTTAGTCTCTCTGTTTTCAGTGGAGGTAACATCATGCTTGAGACTCTTCAACTAAACGCTTTTTTTCTGTGTTTCCAAGCAAATTATTGGTAATTTTGAAATATATTTTACATATTGACGATATATAATGCAGTGCAGTGTTGATTTAAAGAAAATAATCTTGAAATACACCAAGAGAACTAAAATTTTATGGGTGAAATGGTGCCATGGGGTGACTTCTCTTCCACCCCAATGCCTTCTCTTCTTCCTTCTCCTCCACCCCCATTCTAATTCCCATCATCATGATCATCATCCAGGAGCCTTCTACATATACACCTCAAAGTAAGTGAACTTTTCTACCATTTTTGTTGAATTTAGGCAATTTTCAGTGAGCTGGAACCAATTACCCAAAAACCCATTGAAACAATGGTTTCGGTTAACAAACTTTTCGGTTAACGAACGACCTTCTGGAACGGATTGAGTTCGTTAACCGAGGGGTCACTGTACAGACTAAAGGGAAGTACAAAACAAGGTGTATATATACAGAGGAGGGTGAGACCAGGTCCACAATGGTCAGGTATTAGGTAATGACCCTACTAATATTTAAATAGCACCGCAACGGTTGGTAGTCAGGTCAGAGGGTAAGGTGACCCAACCTTCTCACCTGGTTACAAATCTTCTTAATTACAAAATTGTCCAGTTTGTACATGCCATTACTCAAACTCATGTTGAATGCTTCTGTATGTTTAATGAGAGTAGATTCTATGATGTTCCTACTATCAATTGAATTACAAGGTAATATTGAGGAGGCATTATCCCAGTCAATGCAATGCTTGTTATTCCTCAAATGAACAAACAGAGCATTGGATTCCTGGCCTGTCCTAACACTATATTTATGTTGTTTAAGTCTAGTTACAAGATCTTTACCTGTCTGGCCTAAGTAAAACATATTACATTCCTTGCAAGGATGTATAAATACAAAAAAATTAAATCCTTGTGGCACTTAATATTTCAGCTATTACAACACAAATTAGCGGAGCTTTCCTTGTGCGCACCTGCAGCTGATTACTCACCCTGAAAAAAATAGCTGATGCAATTAAAACTAAGAAGAACACAAAACCAAATGAATGAGCATTACATGGGAAAGAAAACTAAATGTTTTGTTTATATATCATGGAACATGCTTATTTTTCTTATTTTAGTACTTCATATGCTATTCAAAACCCCAGTTGCTGGTGCATTAGAGATAAATCCCCTTGGTAAGTATTAAATTCTCACAAATACATTGCAAAAAAGCTTATCTTTTAATTCATCTTTTCTGAATTGTTGAAGTGCAGTAATAACATTATAACAACTGTTTTTCTTTATACAATTCAGATAAGCAGTGTTATCTCCACACCCCCCCCCCCTTTCCCCCTACCTTCCTCCACAGATTCGCTTTTTTTGTTTCACTTTTGCATTTTCCGGACTTCGGTCTGCCATCATTCCCTTCTACCTGCCTCTGATATGAACCAGTAATAAGAGCTGCCATCCACTTGAGCTGGCAGCGCAGGTGGAATGCTGTTGGAGCAAACCAGCTCCATGATATCCACCCTACATTGGGTGCCTGTGGATATCAGGGACTGTCGTGTTGGTGGGAAACTGCTTTGGTCCGCTTCCATATTGGCCACACATGGTTGACTCGTGGTTTTTAATGGAGACGTGGTTTTTAATGGAGACGGCGCCCCCTTTCCTTCATGGGGGAAGCCGGCCTGCTACACAAGCTTTGAGTTTATCTATTAACGTTTATTTTTGTATTTACTTTTTTTTAACAAAAGTTCTATGTTATTTTTTCCTTTCCATTATTAGATTTTAGTCTTTTAAGCCCTTATTTTAATTTAGTGACATATGACAAGCTGTTGCATGCCAAGGATGTAATTACCAATCCCAATTAGTCTGGTGTATCAAGGCACTACTGTATAAAAAAATACCAAAGACAAAAACATATCAGCCGAATTTGTTGAAATTTGAATGGAAACACTGTTAGATGAGCCTAAATATTGTGTTTGAATCTCATCTAAATTCATCCATAAAAAGGGGTAGGGGTTCCAGTTGGACATGGTCTTAACCTCTGTGTTCAGTCTCAGGGGTGGGTTTTAACAAAAGCTTAAGTTTATCATTACTTAATGTATTAATGTAATTTTCCTTAAATATTATATATGTAGACCACACACATGTTTCTCTTCTATGATATACAGTAATAGTGTAAGTATTAACCATACAATCTGTTTTGCAGGGCGTCCTGGAGAAATAGTAAATTTAGTTGTCTCTCCAACCTTAGAGGGTGAAGATTTTTTTGTAAGCTGCACCATCAGGAACTGGCTGAAAGAAGTACGTACCTAAACTTTAGATTATGAAAGTTAATTGGATATCATGTAATTTTTTAATTTTCTGCCTTTCATGGAGTACACGGTCAAAAGCCTTGGCAAAATCTAGGTAAATACAGTGGTCCCTCGGTTAACGAAATTTCGGTTAACGAATTAGCTCCCATAAGGATTTTCAGTTTGATTAACGAAATCCTCACGACTAACACGTTTTGTTGTGCGCATCAGCTGATCAGCCAGTCCGCTTAAACAGTAATTGGTTCTATGTTTACATTCGTTTCCAGTGGAATAATTATCAAGAAAGTTGGTCTCTTGAATATTTCTGCATTTTTTGTATTAAAATTATTGGATATAGACTTTCGCTTTCTTTCATTGTTCAAAAGATTTTACCGTAATCGCTTTCGAATGGTTTTCAGTTAAAAAACCGTTGTACCTTACTGTATTACAATGATATCCTATCCTATCATTAGCCTCATAATCCCACAACTGAAAACCATTCGAAAAGCGATTACGGTAACATCTTTTGAACGAAAGAAAGCGAAAGTCATTGCTTTCGTCACAATTTTATCCCACTTTCCGCTGTAATACGTACGTCATTTCAGCAAAAATATTACATTTCCATATTCTCAGAAATAAATAGTAGTTTTGTTGAAACGTAATGGACAGTATTTAATATTAAAATGCAAAAAAAGCTATAAAAACAATTAATACTGTACACCCGTAATGTACTAGCTGGCATCTCCACTCGTCCCTGCTCCCACCAGTCACCACTCCTCCCCACTCTATTCCTCCGCCTCCTCCACATCGTCACTACTGTTGTATTACAATAATATTCTATCCTCATTCACTTGAATAAATACTACGATACCATATTTCTGAATATTTTCATTAAAATCCATCAAAATCATTTTCCTTGTCATCGTCTTAAGCACCAAACAGCTCCTCCCAGTCTTCTCCTTGAACAGGGCTAGAGGGTACGTGTTTTTCGAATCGTTTTCAGTTAAAAAAATGTTACATCACATGTATATATTACCTAAACTGCGCCTGAATGAATATATTCTCAGAAATAAATAGTAGTTTTGCTGAAACGTGATGTATTTCAATGTAAAATAGGATAAAATACATGACGAAAACAATAGACTTTACCTAACCTTCCGATGTTCAAGAGATGTTACTCGTTTTTTTAATAGTTTTTGGTTAAAATACTGTTATATTACAATGATATTCTATTCATACTGTGCTTGATATACTACGTTCACGGAAATGTAATATTTTTGCTGAAATGACGTACGTATTACAGTGGAAAGTGCAATAAAATTGTGACAAAAACAATGACTCGCTTTCTTTCGTTCAAAAGATGTTACCGTAATTGCTTTTCGAATGGTTTTCAGTTAAAAAAACTGTTGCATCACAAGTGAATTAGGATGGAATATTATTGTAATACAACAGTTTTTTAACTGAAACCATTCGAAAAGCGATTGCGGTAACATCCTTTGAACGAAAGAAAGCGAAAGTCATTGCTTTCGTCACTTTCCACTGTAATACGTACGTCATTTCAGCAAAAATAGTACATTTCCATATTCTCAGAAATAAATAGTAGTTTTGCTGAAATGTAATGTATTTCAATGTAAATTAGGATAAACTACATGAAAACAAAAGACTTTACCTAACCTTCCGATGTTCAAGATATGTTACTCGTTTTTTTAATAGTTTTCAGTTAAAATACTGTTATATTAGTGATGTTCTATTCATACTGTGCTTGATATAATACATTCACGGAAATGTAATATTTTTGCAACTACAATGCTGATGTCAACACAAGCGTGGTTACAGCGAGACTGACTGAGTGAGGGTGATGACGCGCTATGTGTGTGTGTGTGTGAGGTAGTGGGAGCGGGCGATGTGCAGTGTCGGTGCCGCGCGCGATTTGAATGTACTTCAATTACTTCAATGTACAGAATATTCCTCCGGCGGGGCAATCCGCTTATTTGCGAATCCGTGAATGCTAAACCCGCGTATGTGAAGGGCCGACTGTATAGTATGCCTGAATGGAAACTGATATGGGCAGTGGCATTGAATCTTAGCAGCCATTTCTTCTACCATTCTTGAAGCTCACAGAGATCCTTCTGCAGCTCCTCATAGTGTGCTTGGTTCTTAATTTCCTGAAATAACCTGTTGTCATCCGCAAACATTTGTATAGAGGAATGTACAGCATCAGGCATGTCATTTATGAAGCAAACAAACAACAGCGGGCCCGATACACCACCCTGTAGTACCCCGATTGTGACGGGTACACATGGTGATTTCGTGCCATTAATCACCACACAATGCTTGCGGCCATAGAGAAAGTCTCCGATCCATGCGAGGACATTTCCTCGATTCCTGTACCATTCCAGTTTAATTTTCAGCCTTTCGTGGGGTACGCTGTCGAAAGCCTTAACAAAATCTAGGTATATATTGTTGATATTACTACCCTATTCCAGAATTTGGGTCCAAACATCCAGTAACTTGAGTAATTGTGTTAAGCAGGAGCGCCCCGGCATAAAACCGTGTTGGCAATCTTTTACAAGGTTGTTTCGTAGTAGATGTTCCATCATGGCATCTCTTATAATGCTCTCAAATACTTTACATACTATGCTGGTCAGGCTCACCGGTCTATAGTTATTCGTGGAGTGACGATCGCCCTTCTTGAAGATAGAACTCACATAAGCCATTTTCCAATCACTGGGGACCTTTTGTTCATCCAGGCATTTACAGAACAGGATCTTCAGGGGCTCGAAAAGCTCGTTGCACAACTCTCTCTTAGCACTCTTGAATGCACCATGTCAGGACAGGGACTCTTACGAACCTTTAGCTTTGACATTTTATTTCTTAAAACCTCGTCTGTGAAGACATTGTGGGTCAGTGCTGTGTCGAACCGTCTGTCCTCAAACCTCAGGAAGATTGATCGCATCCTCTCTTGTGAGCACCGAGGAAAAGAAACTGTTCAATGCTTCAGCTTTGTCCTGGTCAGAATCTGCGTAACTACCATCTTCAAGACTTAGGTCAGATACTCCTACTTACGTTTTTAATTTTGACTTTGCATAATGGTTAAACGCCTTTTGGTTTGACTTGACCTCGCTTGCAACCATCCTCTGGAACTCTTTTTCAGCCCTTCCACACTTTGACTTTGCTTGGCTCCTGGCTCTTGCATGCATTCTCCTGTCCTGCTCATCGTTTGACCTAAACCACGTCTTGAATTTCTGGGTTTTCTTCTTAACTTTATCGACTGCCGCATGGTTCATGTGTAGGGGTCTCCTTGTATTCCTAGAGGCACTGGGTTTGCTCTTGAGTATATATTTATCGATCAAATGGTTCACTTTACTAGCTATGATATTCAGTGTAGTGTCTGCGTTCTTGTGCCTTAGTGAGTCAGGCCAGTGGATACCCCTCATCCCGCCGTAATTTCCCTTGTATTATTTGCACCTTGGCCTGGTTTTGTCGTGAACTGAGTAACAGTTAAATCTGGAGGACAACATTTCATGGTGCCTGGTGCCAACTGGGGCTAGATGTTCCAGTTTGGCCACCACACCCTCCTCGTTTGTTATGATGAGGTCTAGTGGCTTGGGTGTTTGCTCCCCTCTGTAATGTGTCGGGTCTCTAACATGCTGGAACAGAAAATTATCTCTCAGAGTTTTTACAAAAAGAGTAGCAGGGTTATTCAAGTCCTTTGGGGTGAACTCGTTTCTCCAGTCGATGTCGCCATAGTTTAAAGTCCCCCATGATAAGGAGGTGGCTAGGGTTGAGCATCGCCGCGTTGTCTATTAAGGCTCTTAATTTCTTTTGGTTTAGTAAGCTGCAGTTTGGGGATCTGTAGATACACTCGGCAATAAGTACGTCTCCTCCCTTTAATTTAATTTTACACCACTTGGATTCGTCAAAAACATCTTCTCCCTGTACCCTCACCTGGCTGGCTCTAAGGTCTTGCCTAGCATAGATAACCACACCCCTCTTGCAAGTTTCTTGAGAAAGGTTCGTAAATAAGTCATATGGTCAATACTAAACGCGCATTCCTCTGGGTCGATTCTCTTGTTCTTGTGTAACAGTTCTACAACTCCTACTATATCGGGTTGGTGCCCCTTCAGTAGTGTTTCAAACTCCTCTCTCTTATCAAGGAACGTGTCAGTATTTGTGTACATGACATTCAAGCCAAAATTTTGTATCGGTAATGTCTCTGCTCTTGGTAGTAATTCCGGCCCCCATCCATTCTCAGCAGCTGTAGTATTTGCTAAATACACTGTATTTTGTAGGGTGTGGTTAGAAATGTCATTGTTTACATGGCGATTGCCTCTTCCTGGGTGGTAGAGCTTGTGACTCCTCCTGGGTGGTAGGTAGAGTGGGTGGAGGGTGTAGGGAGGCTCTGCTCCCAATATTTGTGCCTAAGAAAAATGGACTTCTTTAACACTTATTCCACCCTATATAAAAAATATGGTTTAAAAATAAAGAAAATATAATATAAAACTAGAAAATAAGAAAAATGAAGAGCATGGGTGTGTATGTGTGTGGAGATGGCGGGATATATCTAAGGCCTTGGATATAACTACGTCTCCAATTGCCAGCCCAGCTGCCTAGTATATTGTTATTTCTAATGAAACTATAAAAAATCTGGAAAAATCATTGCTATACAGGAATACCTCAGTTATTGTAAGGGATGGGTTCCTAAAAGTCATTGCGAATATTTGGGCAATTTTCCCCTTATGAATTATGTAAATAGGGGGGGGGAGATGCATTCACAACCAGCAACTTTCACCACATATATTTTGATACAGTATATAATCCTCATTATCCTTGGCTATTAGGGACCAGGGTTGCATGTATACTGTAGTATCAGTTAATGAGAGGACTAAAAAGAGGTAAAGTTTTTACTAGTAAATAAAATAAATAAAAAAGCCATTTTTTGTTCAACCCAGAATGCGAGGCCTAGCTTTAACCTAGGTATGTTAATGCCTCGCAATAACTCGCCAGGCCAACATACAGGCAATTAAAACATCTAATAAAGTAAAAAGTGTTATCTGAGACAGGAATAATCAACATAAAATAATACAAATATTATTAAATATAATGATAAACATGAAATTAGTACTGTACTGTGTTTTACTGTACTGTACTTTATAAGTGAGTTTTAATAGTGATTTTTAATGCTTAATTTTTATTCATGTTTCTTAAAGGTGAGGTTTTATCACAAGGGCAATATACTGTCAGAAGACACAGATCCACGTTATAGTGTATACAAACCTGAGCCAAGCCAAGGAGATGCTACACATGTGTTGAAGGTAACATCTGCAGGACCTGAAGATGAGGGCACATATCAGTGCTACCTGGATGCCTTCACTACCCACACCATAGATGTTTCTCTCAAGAGTAAGCCTTCACATTGCTAACTAAACTGTTTTTTAACATCTCCCTCTTATTTTTCCCCCTTCCATATCTTTTCAGCAGATACTTGTTTTAATTTTTATTTTGCCTTTATCTTGTTTTATCCACATAAGTAGGTCTCCATTAACATTAGGGGTATTTGTATTGGTTTTCCCATGAAAAACAAGTGTAAATTGAAACTGGTCCAATACAGTACAGTAGAAATTTTCAGATTTTTTTACTTTCTGATATCCTCTTTGTTTCAAAGCATTTCACATTCCTGATCCATTACTTAAGTTTACAATAAAACCTTGATAACTTGGCACATATGGGGCTCTGGCCTTGCCAAATTATCCCAATTTCCTACTTATCAAGGCAGTCCCCTCCGCCCCTCAAAAATAAAACAATAAAAAACTATGGGCCCATATAAGTATACTGTACATACATATAATTACTATTTTTCAAAAAGTAATACTTACCTGCACTGCAGGCGAAGAATAAAACATTGTAGTAGGTGAGAGGCATGGAAGGTAACTCGGGGGAATGATAGGTGATGCAGGGGAATGGCAGGTGATGCAGAGGAATGGTAGGTGATGAAGGGGATTAGTAGGTGATGCAGAGGAATGGTAGGTGATGCAGAGGAATGGTAGGTGATGAAGGGGAATAGTAGGTGATGCAGAGGAATGGTAGGTGATGCAGAGGAATGGTAGGTGATGCAGGGGAATGGTAGGTGATGCAGAGGAATGGTAGGTGATGCTGGGGAATGGTAGGTGATGCAGGTGATAAGGGAAATGCTTCATAAACAGTAAACAGTGCAGCACTTATGTATACTCTGTACTATTGTAATTTGGTCACTTATACAAAATAATACATTTTCACAAAAATAATTGTTTTCTCTACACATAATTCAAGTCTGAGTTTGTAAATAAACTCATAACTTATATCACTAAGTATATTATAGTCCACCCTTGTAAAACTGTTTTCTTTATTACAGAGCAAAAGAGTAAAAATTAAAATAATGTACAGTAGTCTAATGTAGCTTAAAAATAAAGAAAATATAATATAAAATTATAAAATAAGAAAAATGAAGAGCATAAGTATGTGTGTGTCTGTGTGTGAGGGAGGTGAACATATGTGAAGGCCGCTCGGTGAGCTGTACTGCGTGGCTGACTCACCTGACTCCCTCCTTTCGTAACTCGGAATTTCACAAGTTATTTTATAATAAATTCTGAGACCTTATACTTGTCAAATTACGTGGAATTTCAAAATATTGAATACCAAACTATCAAGTTTACATAATACAGTATCCATTTTTACTACTCATTCACAACTTTCCTGTACTGTATTTACATCACATACAGCAGTGCTTCTCAAACTATCTCATGTGGCGGACCGGCAGGTTTTTTCCAATGTGCCAAGGACCAGTACCATATTTGTATCATATTATTATTTGTTTACGATCTGAGAAAATATTATTTGAACATTCTTAGTAATATTAATTTAAAACGGAAAAATATAGTGAATCTAATAAAAGTGGACACATTTTTTTTTTGTAAACAAGTAATACAATATTATAATATAAATAAAAAATATTAAAAAATCAAACTAGCAATGCCTTCTAACAAAGATATTATAAACATATGTACAGTGGTACCCCGATTTATGCGGTCAATTGAACCCACAGGGTACCGCGGAAAGTGAAAACCGCTTAAAGTGAACAACAGAACATATGGGATTAATTCCAATAGAGACTGGCCCGACCCCCAAACTCCACTTTTTCCGACACAATACCTATGTTGTAGTAAAAATAACATCTAAATTTTATGATGGTATGCTCACACAATTAATATTTAAAAGAAATACAGTCGCCAGGTTAATGTCCATTCAAATAATGGACTCAAATCCCCCCCCCCCTCTTCCCAGCTCACTAGCTCCTACCTCTGAGAAATGTTTGGGTGAAACCACTAGATTTTAACGTTTAGTAATAAATAATACCTCAGAGTAAAGTTAGGATAATATAATTGACATTTCTGGATTCCTTGCAGGTCAGGGAATATTTTGAATGTAAACTTCATATATTTTGCACAAAAGATAAAATATTTGCTTTGTGTAAACCAAATTATTACATTAGATCTAAAATTTGTATGTAATGCAAAATCCATGATGTTTATATTCAAAATGATCATCATATTGTAAGAATTCCAGCAATGTAAATTAAATTCTGGCAGGGTAATTTTTATGAATTTTATGAGCTAAATAAAAAAAAAAAAAAAAAGTAAATTATACTTCACTGCGGCGCGTATATGAGTAGATGCACCGCGGAAAATGAAAGTCCGGTTCTGGCAAGGTACCGCGTAAATGAGAAATCGCGGAAAGTGAAACCGTGTAAAGCGGGGTAATACTGTATATATAAGTAATAAAATGAAAAATTATAATGAATAAAGTAGGTTAAAAAAATTATATTTTACTTATTTTAAACCCCAATGCATAAAGACGTCAAAACAAAGATTGAAAGGAATAGGCAACATTAAATTGAAGACAGCAATTTTGAAAATATGTCGTAATACTAAAATATGAAATTGATGATTGTTTTATTAACACAATAATAGTCATGTTAAAACCTTGACCTTTACTTATGTGAAAGGTGAGACTGCTTCTTCTTTGTCAGCTTATCCAATCGTGGTTCAATTGAGGACAGTGCCACGCGCAATGGAGAGTGAATGTCCATACTATTCCTGTACTTTGTCTTAATGACACTCATGGTTGAGAAGCCAGTCTCGCAGAGGTATGTTGAAGGAAATGGGAGAAGAGTTTTCAGAGCAATTTCAGTAAGCTTTCACTTTTATCCAAAAGGAACCAAATGGTGTTGTAGTTTCGAAACTCATCTTCAATCCTTCATCAGCAGCCAGCTCCAACAATTTATCCTCTGTAGTGACACTTAAGTCATCTCTCAGTGGCATAAATGGATTTCGGATCCATCCATTCCCTTTCCGTGGATCTTCTTCTGCTGGAAAGTAATGCTGAAAACGTTCTGCCAAATTCGTCAAGTGTTCTCTGATGACAATTCGTAGAGATGTAACATCAAGGTCTTCGCCTGCATCGGCGATGACTGCCGCTAATTGGTGAAACGTGTCATAACAATCTCTTGACACTCGACTCTTCCATGCTTCTAGCTTTCGTTTTTGTCCGTCGATCTTGTCTGCCATTGTAAAACACGAAGCCAGCCTTCCCTGCATGGAGGTGTTGAGATCATTAAAGATGGCAAAGATATCAGCCAAATAAGCCAGCTTGGTTAGCCAATCCACATCTCGGAAGAATTGTGACCAATTTGTTTTTTGTCCTGAAGACACTCGGCAAGCTCATTTCGTATCTCAAATACTCTTGACGGGACTTTTCCCCTCGATAACCAACGTACATCGGCATGCAATAGGAGCTGTTTATGATCAGCTCCCATATCACCACATAATGCAGTGAATTGTCTCGAATTTAAAGCACCGGTCCGCATACCACCACTTTGAGTAACACTGACATACAGTACTTCCAAGTATACAGTATGTGCATTATAGTGTCGGACAGTGGTTTTAAGACTATTTTCTATGAGGGCACATTAAATAATTTTTAATATTTTTACAGTGCATGTACAATATTTCCTATTGGAGAAAGTTGGCTGTTTCAATTTCATTATTTTTCAGGGAAGCGCTTACCTTTATGAAGTTAATTGATAGACAAAACATCTGAAGAAGATTGTTTTATTATGCAACCAAATATGAATATAAGAAATATGGATTTGTTTTGGTGGATGTAATGACATCTTAATTTTTCATCTATTTCTATGTAACTTTATGTCCTGATGCATTTTCAGCCCTTTGGTTTCTACTTGTAAATAATTTTGATGATTAATTTCTTTAGTCTATTTACTCTTAATTAAATTTTAATTTATTGTAGGTCCAGCAGAAAAGGTGCTGGGAGTGTCGGCTTCAGCTGCTGTAGTGGGACGTGACTTTAATATTACCTGTCGTGTTAAGAATTGGGATGATACTGTAAGTAAAGGAACACATTAATTATGTGGCTTATTAATGGTGGTTTAGGTTGAGGTTAGAGGTAAAGGATAGTCATGATTACTCATACCTCTCATTAAATTTTACTTGAAATATCCAGACATGGTTTAGTCTTGTATTTGTCCACTTAATCATTAATCACTCCCATCAGACATTTATTCAAATATACACCGAGATGTGCAGAGGTGTTCAGTAGTTAATTATGTACAGTGGAGTCCTCATTTACGCTGTCAATTGAACCCTTGGAGGTCCGCATAAAACGAGAAACGCGTAAATGAAATAACACAACATATGGGATTAATTGAAATAGAGACTGGGCCGACCCCCAAACTCCACTTTTTCCGACACAATACCTACGTTTAGTAATATAACATCGTAATTTTATGATGGGATGCACACACAATTAATATTTAAGAGAAATACAGCCGGTTAATGTCCATTCAAATAATGGACTGAACCCCCCCTTCCCACGCTCGCTGGCTCCTCCCTCTCTGAGAAATGTTTGGGTGAAAACAGTAGGCTTACATTTTTAGTAATAAATAATACCTCAGACTAACATTAGGATAATATGATTGACATTGCTGGATTCCTTGCAAGACCAGGAATATTTTGAATATAAACGTCATATATTTTGCACAAAAGATAAAATTTTTGCTCTTTCTAATCAAAATTCTTACATTAGATCTAAAATTTGTATGTCTAATGCAAATTTTATGATGTTTATATTTAAAATAACCACAATCTTATAAGAATTCCAACAATGTAAATTATATTCTGGCTGGGTAATTTGTATGAATTTTATGAGCTGAAACAAATATCTTCAGTAAATACAGTAAACAAATTATACTTTACCTGCGTAAATGACCAAATTTACCGCGTAATTAAAGCATTTTATTCTGGAAAGGCACCGCGTAAACGACCAAACGCATAAACAAAAACCGAGTAAAATGCGGACTCCACTGTATACAGAACCTAGTACCTCTACTTAGGTAAGAATTTCAGGATTCAATTTTTATAAATTATTATTTTAAATTTTTTATTCTAACTTAATACATTTTAAGGGAAAATGTTATACTATTACAGTTGTACCCCGCTTAACGCGGTCAATTGAGCCCACAGGGTACCGCGTTAAGTGAAAACTGCGTTAAGTGAACAACAGAACATATGGGATTAATTCCAATAGAGACTGGCCCGACCCCCAAACTCCACTTTTTGACGACACACAACTATGTTGTAGTAAAAATATTATCTTAACTTTATGATGGTATGCACACACAATTAATAATTAAGAGAAATATCAATAATATTTGGTTTTTTAACACTTACATTAGTAGAAAAGATGGCTGGGCACACGGGATGGGGGGGTTGTCTGAGGCAGAGGGCAGATTATTGGCCCTCACCTGTATCACTTGTACCAATTATATCATTATCCACCACAGAGGCTTGCAGGGCCTCTTTGTCAAACCCCTCAAAGTCCATATAAGTCCATATCCTCACTATAATTATCACTATCACTGACTTGGGCCGGCTGTGGTGGGTGGCGGGTGAAGAACTCGGTAATGTTTTGATGACTGGGCGACCTTGTGCGCATCGTGCCCGCGCCGCTTCCCGCGTATATGAGTAGATGAACCGCGTTAAGTGAAAGTTCGGTTCTGGCGAGGCACCGCTTATATGAGGAATCGCGTTAAGTGAAACCGCGTTAAGCGGGGTACAACTGTACAGTAAACACTCGATAACTCAGCACATATGGGGCTCTGGCCTTGCTGAATTATCCCAAATTCCAACTTATCGAGGCACTTCACCCCTCCTACAAAAATACAACAATAAATAATTATCGACCCATATAGGTGTACAGGTAATTACTAAATGTAAAAATGTAACACTTAACATTACTGCAAGCAAAGATTGAAGCATCATAGTCGGTGACACAGATGCTTGGTAGGTGACACAGAGTCATGGTAGGTGATCCAGGTGGCCAAATATGCCGAGTTTTTCCCAGATAATTTTATATACTGTATCTCGGCATTTCCTGAGTTATACTAATACATTCCGAGACCATATCCATGCCGAGTTATATAAAATTCTGAGTTATCAAATGCTGAGTTATCGAGGCTTTACTGTCCAGTACTCTAGGTGGGAGAGGTGAAGCACTTTTCTCCATTTTGGGGGTTTGACTCTTGCTTATAATGAACCTTAGAGGCCTTGACTATAATCCTGTATTACAGATGCTTGTTTTATTTGTCCTGAATGGACAGTAGGTAAGACAACTAACTGTGCTTCGAAATTTTATGTGTGAACTAGTGACAGCCCTCATAAACCAAAATGTATAGTCCATGTTCTCATATTGTTACCCACAAAGTATGCACAGATACTTTCTATGAAAAGTTTTTAACTCTTGTAATTGACCTCTTTATTATGTAATGGTCTACTGGCCAAACCTGTGGAATCAGGAACAGTACTGGGTTTCAAAATAGCCCCTGACAAATTCATCAAGAACAATGGAGGGATACTACACATGCCATTGGCATCCTTCCCTTGGCATGGCCACCTCCAGTGGGTGCCCATTAGGTAAAAAAAAAAAAAATAATATATATATATATATATATATATATATATATATATATATATATATATATATATATATATATATATATATATATATATATATATATATATATATATATATACAATATATATATATACATGCGATATATATACATATATATATATATATTGTTAATTCACTTAACGCAGTCAATTGAACCCAGAGGGTCCCCGTTATGAACAACAGAACATATGGGATTAATTCCAATAGAAACCGCCCCACCCCAAACTCCACTTTTGAAGGCACATACCTATGTTGTAGTAAAAATAACATCTTAATTTTATGATGGTACATGCACACAATTAATACTTAAGAGAAATAGAGAAATACAGTCGCCAAGTTAATGTCCATTCAAATAATGGACTCAACCTCCTCTCACACTACACAGCCGGCTAACAGATGGTCGGTCGGTCCCTCCTCCCCCACCCCCCACCCCCACAACCGTCCCAAGGAGATGTGTGATAACATCAAACTAAAGTTAGAAAATAATTGATATTGCTGGATTTAAGAGTCATATATTTTGGACAAAAGATAACATAGTTACTTAGAGAAAAATTTTTATCTAAAAATTGTAAGTTTAAAGCAAAATATATGATGTTTATATTCAAAATGATCACCAAATTATAAGAATTCCAGCAATGTAAATTATATTCTGACCGGGTAATTTGTATGAATTTTATGAGCTAAAACAAATATCTTCAGTTAATAAAAAAAAAATAATCTTCACGACACTATCTGTCAATCAAAGTACCCCACCTTGCCTCCCCCCCTCTTCCAACCGCGCGGTCAGTCCCAACCCTCCCCCCACCCCCCACCAATCCTCCCTTCCAGAGTTTTTAACATTTAGTATTAAATAATACCTCAGATTAAAGTTAGGATAATATAATTGACATTGCTGGATTCCTTGTAAGACCAGGAATATTTTGAATATAAATGTCATATATTTTGCACAAAAGATAACATAGTTACCTAGAGAAAATTTTGTATCTAAAAATTGTATGTTTAATGCAAAATATATGATGTTTATATTCAAAATGATCACCAAATTATAAGAATTCCAGCAATGTAAATTATATTCTGACCGGGTAATTTGTATGAATTTTATGAGCTAAAACAAATATCTTCAGTTAATAAAAAAAGAAATAATTCTTCACGGGGTAACAGATGGTCGGTCGGTCCCTCCCTCCCCCCACCCCCCACCAACCGTCCCAAGGAGATGTGTGGGATAACCACTAAATTTTAATAAATAATACCTCAAACTAAAGTTAGGATAATATAATTGACATTGCTGGATTCCTTGTAAGACCAGGAATATTTTGAATATAAATGTCATATATTTTGCACAAAAGATAACATAGTTACCTAGAGAAAAATTTTTATCTAAAAATTGTAAGTTTAAAGCAAAATATATGATGTTTATAATCAAAATGATCACCAAATTATAAGAATTCCAGCAATGTAAATTATATTCTGGCCTGGTAATTTGTATGAATTTTATGAGCTAAAACAGGCAGTCAGGCAGGGTGGCGGGTGGGGCAAATCTAAAAATAGCGTCTCGGACACTCACCGCGTATATGTGGAAAAAATCCGCGTTAAGTGAAAGTTCAGCTTTGGCAAGGCACCGCGTATATGCGAAAACGCGTTAAGTGAAACCGCGTTAGGCGGGGTAAAACTGTATATATATATATATATATAGCAGTATATATATATATATATATATATATATATATATATATATATATATATATATATATATATATATATATATATATATATATATATATATATATATATATATATATATATATATATATATATATATATATATATATATATATATATATATATATATATATATATATATATATATACATATATACACACACACACACACACACAGTAGTACCCCGATTTACGCGGTCAATTGAACCCACAGGGTACCGCGTTAAGTGAAATCCGCGTAAATGGAACAACAGAACATGTGGGATTAATTCCAATAGAGACTGGCCCGACCCCCAAACTCCACTTTTTCCGACACAATACCTATGTTGTAGTAAAAATAACATCTAAATTTTATGATGGGTAGATGAACCGCGTAAAGTGAAACCGCGTAAAGCGGGGTAATACTGTGTATGTGTGTGTGTGTGTGTGTGTATATATATATATATATATATATATATATATATATATATATATATATATATATATATATATATATATATATATATATATATATATATATATATATATATACACACACACACACAGTGGTCCCTCGGTTAACAAGATTTCGGTTAACAATTTACCTTCCATAAGATTCTTAACTTCGGTTAACGAGCAATCCCTCGATTAACGAGTTTTTTACGAGCTGACTTCAACATGTTTTCGCTTGCATTTGGCGGTCCACCAGCTGTAGTATTAGTCCGCCAATACAGTAATCGGTTTTAGAGCTTAAATTCCTTAATATTTTAGTAAATATCAAGAAGTTTATACTATTCAATAATTTTAAAAGTAATATTAACTTTTTTAGTCATTTTAACAATTATTGAACATAATTGAAGGTAAAGAAACTAGTTTCTGGCGTGGCATCCAGCCTGTTAACACACCAGACAGGCGTTAGTCTCTCTGTTTTCAGTGGAGGTAACATCTTGCTTGAGACTCTCTTCAACTAAACGCTTTTTTTTCTGTGTTTCCAAGCAAATTATTGGCCATTTTGAAATATATTTTACATATTGACAATATATAATGCAGTGCAGTGTTGATTTAAAGAAAATAATCTTGAAATACACCAAGAGAACTAAAATTTTATGGGTGAAATGGTGCCATGGGGTGACTTCTCTCCACCCAATGCTCTTCTTTCTTCCTTCTCCTCCAATTCCCATTCTAATCTCCCATCATCATCATCATCCAGAGCTGCTGCACATACACACCTCAAAAGTGGTAAGCTTACATTTTTGTTGAATAAGTACTGTGAGTTGAACGATTGACCAAAAACCCATTGAAACAATGGTTTCGTTAATCTAGTTTTTCGGTTAACGAGCAAATCTGCTGGAACGGATTGTGCTCGTTAACCTCACTTTACGTCCCACATTCTCGTGTTTCACGCTACGCTGCACCTGCCGAACCCGGGATGCTTCACATTCTCATGGTGCGCAATTCCCCCTTACGTGGGTGAAGTATAATTTTTTTATTTAGCTCATAAAATTCATACAAATTATCAGGCCAGAATATAATTTACATTGCTGGAATTCTTACAATTTGATGATCATTTTGAATATAAGCATCATAGATTTTGCATTAGACATACAAATTTTAGATCTAATGCAAGTATTTTGTTTACTCAGAGCAAATATGTTATCTTTTGTGCAAAATTTATGAAGTGTATATTCAAAATATTCCTGGTCTTGCAAGGAATCCAGCAATGGCAATTATATTATCCTAACTTTAGTCTGAGGTATTATTTATTACTAAAAAGGTAAATATTCTGGTTTCTCCCAAATATTTGTCTGGTAGGGAGGGTTGGTGGGGGGTGGGGGGAGGGAGGGACCGACCGACCATCTGGCGCGGTTGGAAGAGGGGGGGAGGCAAGGTGGGGTACCTTGATTGACAGATAGTGTTGTGAAGAATATTTTTTTTTTTATTAACTGAAGATATTTGTTTTAACTCATAAAATTCATACAAATTACCCGGCCAGAATATAATTTACATTGCTGGAATTCTTACAATTTGATGATCATTTTGAATAGAAACATCATAGATTTTGCATTAGACATACAAATTTTAGATCTAATGTAAGTATTTTGTTTACTCTGAGTAAATATGTTATCTTTTGTGCAAAATATATGACATTTATATTCAAAATATTCCTGGTCTTACAAGGAATCCAGCAATGTCTATTATATTATCCTAACTTTAGTTTGAGGTATTATTTATTACTATACCTTAAAATCTAGTGGTTTTCCCCCAAAAATTTCTCAGAGAGAGAAGAGCCAGGGAGTGTAGTGTGAGAAGAGGGGCAGGGAGTTGAGTCCATTATTTGAATGGACATTAACTTGGCGACTGTATTTCTCTATTTCTCTTAAGTATTAATTGTGTGCATGTACCATCATAAAATTAAGATGTTATTTTTACTAGAACATAGGTATTGTGTCGGAAAAAGTGGAGTTTGGGGGTCAGCCAGTCTCTATTTCATTTAATCCCATATGTTATGTTGTTCACTTTACGCGTTTCTCACTTTCCGCGGTACCCTGTGGGTTGAATTAACCGCGAGAAAAGATATATATATATATATATATATATATATATATACTGCATCTGTTAATTTTATGAATACCCCTGTACAATTTCAACCCCCTACAGGTAACTTTCATATTCAATGGTGTGGCATTGGATCCTGATAAAGACTGGCGATACGTTGTATATGTGTACCCATCAGACGATGGCAACCAAGAAATCACCCATGTCCTCAGTGTATCTGAGGCAACCACTGATGATAATGGCTTATATGAATGCTACACTACCACTGTCACATCTGGCTCTACCATAGTAACAGTGTGGAGTAAGTTGAAATATCTCCTTACCAAAGTTTATAATTTTTTGGAAGGGGTGATGGGTGCATTTTTACTTGATGCTGATTGCATTAAAAATTAATACATATGAAAGAAGTAATGAGATTTATATAATGAGATTTGCTGGAATAAGTCCAAGCATTTTTGTTGAAGGTCTTTTTAATGGTTGTGGAGTTTGTTAATCTTGGTACTGCTCATTTTCCAGCATTTAAGGACAGATTTGTGCCTTCATTATTTTCTGTGTCCTACCAATGCTATCACCACTTAGCAGGCTTTTATAGTGTTATTCCTTCTATGTTCAGATTGCTTGAACACCAAATCTTGCCACTTCTCACCCAGTTTTAAGGCTAGCTTTTCTAGTATACCTTTGTGTTCATTGTGGATTTGCTTAGATTTCATCCACATTTTTCAAATACTCATATAACTCATATTCTTTAGATTACATTTTCTTGCTTTCTACAGTATGCTTTCCTACAGCAGATTTAAAATTAAAGATATCTCCCTTAGCGGGAACTATTGGTGCAGAGCACTTCCAGGAATTCAAGATTTCCGGGTAACAAGGTGACTGTCTCGAAGCCGGAAAAAAAATCCCTCATTCTCGGAATTTTTTGGGTAATGGAAAAATGTTCATTGAAGTTCCAGAAATTGCCCATTACATCATCTTTCCAACCCAGAAAAATATCCCCCATCCCCGGAATTTTCTAGGTACTGGAAAATTTTTCTCAGAGTTTCCACAAAACGAGCCTGATTTTCATATCTCAAACCCTGAAAAAACTCCCCCATTCCCAGAATTTTCCATGTATTGGGAAAATTTTCTTGGAATTTTCCAAGAAAATTTCAATTCCGGCTATTTGAGAGTTCCGGGTTTGAGGGATTCCGGCTAATAGAGTTATTACTGTATAATAATATATAAGAGTAAAATACTGTAATAGCATTAAAAAGTATAATAATAATAATAAAATTAATAAAAATAAAAATGATAAAAAAATACAAAAAAATAAACTAGTAATAATAAATAAATACAAAAATTAAAAATTTTCAAGAGTGAGAAGTGACAATGTATATGTATGTTGTGTTGTCAAAGTAAGAGAAACAATTGAGACCCTGCAATTGTGTATAAATAAGGCATGAAGTCAGATCAACAACTTGGGACTTGGTCACAATTTTCGTGTTGCCATATGGCAGCAGGGACTACCATTAAACAACACATTATGCTTCCAATATTTTCCCAGGCAGTAGTACCTCTCTGTTTGATAGCTGCCTACTACCTACTACTACCTACTGCTTGTTGGTAAGACATTTAGGGAGTGAACTCAATACTTTGAGGGAATGTATATTTAATGCACATTCCCTCTGCATTGATAAATAGGGAGAAATTATGTTTTAACTCCCTGGATAAGGCAGAAAAAATTATAAGGAAAAATGCTATATGATTGGTTGGAGTGTAATTTAAATTTCAGATTTAATTGTAAAATTCTGTTCTCTGCAGATGAAGCTGATGTGAAACTTGAACTTAAGACTGTTGATCAGCCAAACTGGAAGGATTCACCTATACCAATTAACTGTGAGGTGCGAGGTGTTGACCCCAATACTGTGGTAAGTTATTGTAAAACTTTAAATAAAGGATACAAATATAGAATGCTATAATAATGAATAATGAGATTCATATTGGAATTCATCATCTAAGACCAGCAAGCTGGGATTTCTGTGTCTTAATTTGCCTTGCCTGCACCTGAAATTAAAAAAAAAACTAACAAATTGCAACCCAACGTCAGTAATTCAGTCTTGTAAAATCTGTAGTTTGATTATTAGAGTCTGTAAATAATATTTCATAGCCAGGTTTATTTTTGAACATAAATGGTTTGATTACTAAAGTTAACAATTCCTTTCAAAAACATGTACAGGTTCTCCCCGACTCACGACCTACTCGACTTACGTCCACCCGCACTTACGACCTGCCTCAGTCATACCAAAATTTGGTCAAATTACGTATTTTTGAGTCCCAAAGTCAGTACACAGACAAAATTTTCATCTGTAATTCACTTTAAAATGTCTGGCAAGCTTAAAAGTGAGTGCTTTGTGGTGCTGAGAAGAAAAAGAGACACCCATTTTCGATTTTCTATGTGTTATTTAAGCATTTCCGACTTACGACCATTTCGACTTTCGACCTGGATGTCGGTCCCTAACCCCGTCGTAAGTCGGGGAGGACCTGTATAGGTATGGGACCATTTATCTAGTATGCTTGGAACCTGGGGGTTGCATGATTTTTTTTTTCTGGAATTTGGAGCACCAGGCCTAGAGTGTACAGTATACCCTCTGTAATTGGCTGTAAAGACTCTTTTCAGATCAGTGGATTCACCCCTAAAATTAGCTGTAACTGTTCACTATAACATTAACCCATTCGTGCACAAAATAAGTTTTAAGTTTTCCAGTTCCAAGATCACATCTCTGAGGCACCTAGGGCAGACGAGACAGGTCACAGTGAATACTTTTTTTTCCTTTACCAATTTCCCCCAAAACTTGTTTTTATTGGAATAAACCATATATCTTTGGCTTTGTAACTGATTACTCTGCAACATAAGCCCCCCCAAAAAAAAGAATAATATAAGTAGGGTACTGTATATAGCTATTTTTGTTCAATCCAGAATGCGATGCCTAGCTTATACCTAGGTATGTTAATGCCTAGCAATAACTTGCCAGATGATGGTAGTGAATGTACTCTGCTGCATGAATGACATAATAAAACAACCATTTGATCATATTATTAAGTCAAGGAATTTCATGGCTGTTGAAATTTATGGTCCCATGATGCAAATGGTTGCAACTAAATTGAACCTCTGTGAAGAATGATTTGCACAATGACATTTCCTTCTCTCCCAAACAGACAATCCTCTTCTCCCACTATGATGAGCCACAAGTATATATTCAAAATCGCACAAAAATGGCAACTTCCAGTCATCTAGTAAATATTGCCGTCAGTCAAAGTGAAGAGGGTTCTGTACCCATCACTGTCTTCACTCTTGGCTTTTACTCTCTTAGTAAAGAGCTGGAGGGTCTTTGGTCTTGTACAGTATTGCATCCCAGTGGTGACATTCTTGGTAGTGATACACTCTCCCTGGAAATTGCAGGTTTGTGGAAAATTAAGCATTTTATTTCTCAAATATTGTAGTAATTTGATAATTGTCAACAAATTCTGCATCCTTTCAGCAGTATTTGTTTTTACCATGATAAAATACTGAATAACTAAACCGAGGAATTGTCATAGGTCACGGTAACTCCACTCTTGTAACCCAAAAGTCAAATTCAAGCCTAAAGCCAAACCATGTTACTACAGGTTGACAATCCCTTATCCAGATGTTTTTCGGATTTCGTAATTTTTTTGGGTTTCAGAATGGTTGGGTTAGGGTGTTTTTTTTTGTTTTTTTTTTGTTTTTTGTTTTTTATTACTGTATTATTATTATTATTATTATTATTATTATTATTATTATTTTTATTATTATTTATTTATTATCTATTATTATAATTATTATTATTATTATTATTATTATTATTATTATTATTATTATTATTATTATTATTATTATTATTATTATTATTATTATTATAATTACCCATATTATTATTATTATTATTATTATTATTATTAGTATTAGTATTAGTATTAGTATTAGTATTAGTATTAGTATTAGTATTAGTATTAGTATTATTATTGGGATCAGCTCACCCAGGCACAGGTCACCGACCCACATTGTGGCCTGGAGGGCGAAAACGTAATAATAATAATAATAATAATAATAATAATAATAATAATAATAATAATAATAATAATAATAATATTAATAATAATTCATATGTGTAGGTCTTGTTTTTCACTTATGATCTTTTTTTCATTCTTTTATTAATTATTATTTTTATTATTATTATTATTATTTTATTAATATTATTATTGTAATTACAGGGTATTATTACTGTACAAAAAAAAAGCCGTTTTTTTCTAAAAACCAGTTTTTGTGATATAGCTCGAATGCGGCGCTCAGCAAATGCTACCTAGGTATGTTAATTCCTAGCCAATTCGCCAGGCCAACATACAGGCAATTAAAACATCTAATAATTACTTAATAAGTACAGTGGGGTATGCTATAACGAACGTAATTGGTTCCAGAACCTCGTTTGTTATAGCATTCGTTCGTTATAGGATTAATCCGTTTCAGGCCCCCAAATACAACCACCTAACACTGAAAAAATTCTGTGGAAAATGTAAAAAATACGGTACTTTATCTTACCTTAGTGTTATTCAGCATGCAGGTACCCCTAAACACTGGCACATCACTATCACTTCCACTGGGAGTCTTGGCTTTAAGGTCCTCAAACAATTGTCTGGCCTTCTCACAAATTATAGCTTCACTAATGTTACCACCTGCCATTTCTTTCTCCTTTATCCACACTAAGAGTAAATTTTCCATCTCTTCAATCACATTACACTTTGCTTTGCTAAGTTTAAAGATTCCCTTTGCCACTTGCACAGATTTAACTCCTCTTTATTCTTCAAAATCGTACATATAGTCGAATTAGCCATCCCATATTCATCACTAAGTTTCGCAATGCTTCTTCCATTCTCACGTTTCTTTATAATTTCTTTCTTAGTTTCAAGGGTTATTAGCTTTCTCACTCGCTTTGGACAACTCATTGTTACAATTGTATACTTATATAACAAAATAGTTATACAAATAACGCGAATTTCCACATCAAAAGACGAAATTTCAACAATAACAGTGGTGCACTGGCTACACAATGAGACAAAGATGGCGCCTGACGCTCTTGTTGTGGGTCGCGGTACAACAATATTCATACGCCAGGCGAAATAGTCCCGTATTCATCCGCGTTCGTTGTAGGAGTTGCGTTCGTTATAGCATTCTCAATTTTATAGGTAAAACCGTTCGTTATAGGAATATTCGTAGTAGGATCCGTTCGTTATAGCATACCCCACTGTAATATTAGGAGGACACGTCACTACCTGGCATTTAATTGCTATTTTCAAAGTCCTTCCTTCATCTAACTACTATGCACTCTGCAAACCTCACCTCTTGCCTCAGAGAGAGCAGTAATTAAAAGTCAACTCTCGAGGGGTGGAGATGGGTGGGTTATGGACGTCGCATTCGAGCTATATCACAAAAACTTTTTTTTAGAAAAAAAACGCTTTTTGTTCAAGCTCATGAATGCGACGCTCAGCAAGAATACCCGAGTAGGAGGTGGAGAGGGAGGTGACTTTGCATACAAGGCTCTGCTGACTGAGTTCATGATTATATTATAAACTATTTTGAACATTTCCAAAATTAGGAACATTTACCGGAAGGTAAAATGTTAATTTACTCAAAAAGGATACTCACTTTATTCTAATGAGGATGAAGGTCCTGGTAGTGGAGATTGAATAGATGGGGGAGGGGAACCCAGCACCACCACATTTGAAGCATCTCTCAGAGATAGATGAAGATAGCTGTCTTTGAAAGTTTTTGAAGATATCCAAAAGCCCATTTCCTTGATCTGACTGAGACTCATATGCCACAGAAGGGCCACAGACCCTGCATATTTCCAAGTGTCTTGTGCCAAAAATTTCTTGCCAGGGTCTGCTTGATTCACTAATTGAGATAAGGATTTTGTCAATTGACTAGGAGATAATTTCTTACCATCACTTGATGAGAAAACATAAGGGCCTCTATTAGGGAATCTGGTTAACCATTCCTGAAGATTTTTAACTGGACACAATATGTGAGGAACCCTAGTTTCATCCATTAGACATTCTATCCTAATAGGTTGAGCTTGGAAATCTTCCCTTTCATTTTTTCTTAGGATCTCTGTAGGAAAAAGGATAACATCCTCGTCAGAAAATACCAATAATGATGGATTATTGGAAATTGAAATCAGTTCACTGATTCTCATACCCGTTGCTGTTGCTAGAAGGAAAGCTGCCTTCTGGAGGAATTTATCCCTGTTCAGATTTATATTGTAATTAGGCCCCATTAGAAGATTAGTAACTTTTTCCAGAGAACAAGGCGGGATTCTCTTGGGTCGAGGAGGTCTCTGAATGAAAAAGGACGATCTTAGCATTTGATAAATCCTTGGGTTCAAGGTAATATTAAAACCCCAAACCAGAGGGTCAACCAACGCTGATTTATAAGATGCAATTGTCGATCCTTGAAGGCCTTTAACTCTGAAAAGAAATTCTAAAAATTCTAATGCAACTGTTTCCGATAATGAATCTGGAGTTGTTAACTGGATAAATTGTTGAAAAAGATTCCAAGCTTTCTCATATTGAATAGAAGTTTGGGGTCTATGACCTGCTAATACTTGATTAACTATATTGGAATTACCCAACAACCTATTTAAACTTTTTTTGAGAAACTCCAAGCGTGAAGTGCCAAGGATATCTCGAACTGAGAATGTAGTCCCTAGTCTAGACATCCTTGTTGCAATTGTAGAGGATTTGGGCACCAGTCCAGCAGATCCAGGCACCAAGGTTGTAGGATCCAAAATGGTGGAATTAAGAGGACTTTGCCTCGGAAGGATCTGAGTTTGTAAACCACTTTGGGCAATATTTTCACAGGTGGGAATAGATAGATTGAATTCCAAAGGTTTCAATCTAAGAGGAGGGCATTTCCTAAAAGATTTGACCTTTCCAGAGATGCATAAATTGGCATCTTGTAATTTGTTAGGGAGGCAAACAGATCTATCTGTGGAGTTCCAAACTTCTTCACTAGACTCTTGAACTCCAATACCTTTAGGGACCATTCTGTTTCTGTCGATACTGGCCGGAGACGGGACAGCGCATCTGCCCAATTGTTTTGCACTCCCAGTATATAAGTTGCTTTGAGGTAAAGTGTTTGTGTTGCACAAATACTGAAAAAATTTTCTGATAGTTGTAGAAGGAGCCAAGACCTTGTTGACCCTTGATGATTGAGATAAAAGACTACCGTTTTGTTGTCCATGGCAAACAGGATTGTCATATTTTGTAAATTTGGGTTTGCCAACAAAAAGAAGAGGACCACTGCTAATTCTTTTAGTATATTGATGTGTTTGTCCCAAAGGAAGTTGCTCCACTTTCCTTGATTGAATTCCCCTTTTGAAGAATGGTATCCCCATCCTATTTTGGACGCATCCGTACAAAAACCAAACCTGTTTGAGGTGGAACCCAGGGAGAGGGACCGATTAGATTGTCCCAGTTTGTCCACCATAACAGATGATTCTTTATCTGCATTGGGAGAGAAGAAGCAACTTTTCTGTTTCTGCGAAGCAACTTCGAGCCCAGATGAGATAGTTGCTTTTTCCTTAACTTTCCCAATGGAACCACTATTGTGGCATTATTCAACAGACCCAGAAGTTTTTCCCAATCGTGCCAAGAAACCTTGTGCTTTACACAAAAGGCTTCTACTTTGTTTATCAAATCTGTTACTTTTGTTCCTGGTAAACTGACTGACTGCTGATTTGTATCCCAGTGGAGGCCTAACCAATCCAACTTTTGATATGGTATTAAGTTTGATTTTACCTGGTTTATCTTTAAACCAAGGTTTTGAAATAGTACTAGTGTACGTTGTGTCGCCCTTTGACAATCTTCGAAAGAGTTTCCCATTATCAGCCAATCGTCTAGATAAGCAAAGGTTCTTATGCATTCTTTTGCAAGGATCTTTCTGGGAATATTTGCCAGTTTTGTAAAGACTTTTGGTGCAATTGTCAGACCAAATGGCATCACTGTGAATTGATAACTTAATTCCCCTACTTTGAACACCAGAAATTTTCTGTACCTTGGAGCAACAGGAACGTGATAATAGGCTTCTTCGAGATCCACTTTTGAGATCCAAGCATGGGGAGGAAGTAGATGCCTCAGATGGTTGTAAGTGAGCATCTTGAATCTTCTTTTGGGAATAAATTTGTTTAGGATTGAAAGATCCAAAATCCATCTTAATTTGTCGCTGCCTTTCTTGGGGACTGGGAATAGGCGAGACATGAAACATTTCTCTGACTGCAACGGTTCTATGACACCTCTGTTTAGTAGTTGACTTACAAATTTTGTAAGTAATGGGGTTGGTTTTTGACCCTTCTTTGGGGATGCTAGGGAAGGGCACCTCAACCAAGTCCATGTGAGACCCCCTTTGATTGTTTTGTAATCCCATATGGAAGAAGTCCATCTGTTCTCCCAACCCCCTAGATGACCCAGCTGTCTGGCTTCATTGGAAGGGGGAAGTTGCTGAGGTGGTAGAATAAGGTTTCCTTCCGTTTCTGAACAAACGGCCACCTCTATTACTTCTTTGATTATTTCCTCCTCTAAAATTTACCCTTGGTTGATAACTGACCCGGGCAGCTGGTCCTGTTCCCCTGTAAAACCTTCCTCTCCTAGGTCTGAGGACTCCTGGGGACATTAATATTAATAGTATTCTCCAAAGATGATCTATAATTAATCAATTATTGCTCACCAAACAAAGCAGGAGAAAGAGGAGAAGAACGTATCAACAAATAAGCGCTACCACTTGAAGCATTATTTGTTGCTTGTTTCCTTAGCTGGACTTTCAGTCTTAGGGCTTTCAACAAATGATCTTAAAATGAGTTGTACAGGGAATATGGGATTCCTTGTAGAGCAGCAGCAAAACATTTGTCCACTTCTGAATTTTCTTCATAGTCCAGCACAAACTTAGTTAATAACTGATACATCATAATTGCAGACCAAACATCTGCTGCCAATTTCCTAATTTTAAATTCTTCAAGCAGCAGTGCAGGGGCAACTGGTTTCAAATTTTTTTCATAACTTATATCAACATATTTTGAAGCTGACAAATATTGGGAAAGATCATATAAGGAACTCTTTTCGTCATTAAATTGGAACTTCAAAAAACTAAACTTGTGAGCATTCCTGTCAGCGGGAATGAATGTTAAGTCTTTCAATAAATTAACCCAGATTTCGTCTATTTCAGAGATCATCTTTGGGCAAATATCAGGCCAAGAAAGTGTAGTATCACCCTCCAAAAACAAAGAATGATGACCCAACTATGATTAGAACCAGGCTCATCATCCTGATCCTGGAATTCACTGAAATCAGATTGAGTAGATAGAGGTTTTTGTAGACTTCCTACTGCCTCACTGTCTGGAGCGTCCAATAACTTATTTTTCTTAGCAGGAGCAGTCTTGTCTAAGTGGGGATTAAGTCTTTTACCTAACACCAATAATCCTAAACTTTCTGCCAACTTGGGATCTTTCCATTGTTGTACATTCAAAAATTTACTCTTCAAGGCCTTATTCCACCTATTTTTAATTTGTAATTGCAATAAATCTTTCTTATCACCTGTAGCTTGATGAAATTGAAAAATTTGATCATAACAAACTGCACAACCCATTGGTGAAAATAGGTTATTTGAGACACAGCTGCCATGAATTTTGCAAGCCACATGAGGATCTATCTTAATAATCCAAGTCGCTTTACATTTTTTATAATTACATGTAGTATGGCCCCCTTGGGTCTTGGGTGAAACTACTACTACTGAATTCAAATTCTCTACTGACAGACAATTCCTTGAATGTAGTGCCTGAGCTGAACTTTCTAGTCCTTGTAGCTCAGCACTCAATAGTATCTCCTCAGGGACAGTTCCATAGTCTCCTCCATTATCCATAGGCCCGGAGTCCTAACCTTCATCCTCCAGTTGCACATCTCTCTTCTGAACTAGGAGGATGCCATGAGTCACATTATATCATTATGACACAAAGTAATAATAATAATAATTAATAAGGGAGAAAGCATTTTCTCCCAAACTTAATCAATATGACTCATAAATGTTATATTATTCGTAAGTTAATGTTATACAAGTCACTCCTATGACCAATATAAGCAATAACTCACTATTTCTTATCTATCTCCCAACTCTCATTTATCAAGTATCCCTTAGCTCAATGAAACTTATTTATTTAAATTTGTTTTTATAAAATAATTTCATTCAGAACATTTATTGAGAGGGATCATCAAGATCTTTATTTGTTGCCAATCAGGGGCACAGACATTATCCTCAAGTAAACACTTAAGGGAAAATTCCTACGTGCGCACTATCACCCGGCAGGGTTGACAGTGCTGAGCGGCTAACATAGCGCTCAATTGGCAGCAACGTTCACTGTTACTCTAGCAATATTTATTGGGTTGAGAATTCCACCCTGAATTGGTCTCATATAACCCATAGAAGGTGTAAAGTCCATTTCAACATAACTCTAGATTGCTAGTAAGACCGGAAGGTCAACATTCCGGAAGGAACGCTAAGTCTAGCAGCCTCGCTAAAGTTCGCCTGAACCCGCTACTGAGGACATTAAAGTTATGAAGAGACAAACTCAACTCTGGCCTTTTTGCTGAGAACAAATAGGAACCCAAGGGCGGAAGCCCAAAGGTTTTGTGAACGTACATAAGAGAAGGGAGAGAGATAGTCAGGGTATTCATATTAGCACGTGAATAATTGGGACAAAGATCGTAAATAATATACATATATATGTATACAGTATATAAAAATAGATATACACCTAGACCCCGACTTAAGACTACGTGAACTTACGACCGTCGGGACTTCATCATAGCAGAATTTTTTTTTTTTTCTTCAAAATGACACACGCATTTTCTATACCGAAACGTTTCCAGTTAATGTAGTCTCCATGTATAATTAGAAAATTATGGGGGCCCCATGTGCATTCAGCTGACTACATTAAAGGTTAAGTGCTCAGTCACACTGTAACCAATCCTTATTATTTATTACTTTCACTGTACTGTATCCATTCATCAATATTCATTACTTTTACTGTACTGTATTTCATTGTAGATTTTTTATAAAAAAAAAAAAAAAAAAATTTTTTTTTTTTTTTTTTTATCTATGTCGGACTTACGACCATGTCGGACTTACGATCTGGATTTGGGTCTCTAACCCCGTCGTAAGTCGGGGTCTAGGTGTATTCACATATTCTCTTTTAGTGAAGATGAGCCCGGGAGGGCGCCCCGACAATCACTGAGTGACTTATAGGCAAGGAATAGTCACAGTGATCTAAATGACTCACAAAGAAAATGTGTTTTGGTCGCCATGCTGACCCAAAGTCGTATAAGAAAATGTCCCAAATACAATAAATGAGAGACATAACAAAATAAAAGTCACTCTACTTCATCACTGTGCTATTAAGTACAAATACCGTATATAATATCCTTGCGGAGGTGAGTATTTGAGCAATTAGAACACAAATTCGCGGAGCTTCCCTTTGTGTGTATTATAGTTGAATCGCCAGGCAAGAGATGAGGTTCTTGATGCGCATATTGATGGTGAACGAGGGGGGTTTGAGAATTGCAATTAAATGCCAGGTCGCGACGTGTCCTCCTAATATTACTTATTAAGTAATTATTAAATGTTTTAACTGCCTGTATGTTGGCCTGGCAAATTGGTTAGGAATTAACATACCTACAGTAGGTAGCATTTGCTGACGTCGCATTCAAGAGCTTGAACAAAAAAAAGGTTATACTGTATTAATCTACACCACGAAGATGCCGGAAAACCAGCTTTTTAAAGTGAGACAGATTGTAAGAGCATGGAAACACAGAAGAAGGCAGAGCATTCCACAGTTTGGCTGTGTGAGGAAAGAAGGAGGTATTATAACAGGTTATTCTCGTGTGACCGACATCCACAGAGAAACGGTGGGCACCGCGGGCAAGACATGTGTTACGAACCCACGGCCTTGCCGGCGGTACACAGGATGCCAAATCCACCGAACATTGCCTGTTAAAGTACCTGTAAAAGAAAGAGAGTGAAGCAACATTGCGGCAAAGAGAAAGGGAAGAGAGATTGTCGACTAAAGGAGGAGAGTTAATAAGACGAAATGCCTTTGATTCCACCCTATCTAATAGTTGGACAGAAGAAGAGCCACCCCAGATATGAGAGCAGTGCTCCAAGTTAGGACGAATGAATCCCTTATATACTTGGAGCAACTGCTAAGAAGTGAAGTAGCTGCTGCATCTGTACAGCATTCCCAACTTTCGGGAGGCAGCTTTAGTTATTCTAAGGATGTGTGATTTCCAGGACATATTCGAGGAAATGGTGAGGCCTAACATATTTATTTCAGAATTTGGGAGGATGATAGCATCCTGAAATGTAATTGGTGGGAGATAGTCTAATTTACAAAGTGTACAGTGGTCCCTCAGTTAACGAGCACAATCCGTTCAAGCAGGTTGCTCGTTAACCGAAACCATTGTTTCAATGGGTTTTTGGGTAATTGGTTCCAGCTCACCGAAAATTGCCTAAATTCAACAAAAATGGTAGAAAAGTTCACTTACTTTGAGGTGTGTATGTAGAAGGCTCCTGGATGATGATGATGATGATGTGAATTTGAAGTGGGAGGAGGAGAAGGGAGAAGAGAAGGAAGTGGAGGTGGAGGTGAAGCATTTTACTGCTTCTTGGAAGGTGAGTCACCTTCCATGAAAATGTCAGGAACCTCTGGACTGACAGATTCTCCACCATGAACATCCTCTCTCCTTCTTGAAGTGGAAGGCTGAGGGATAGCATCTTGTTCCCTCTGCCTTTTACTGAAGAAAGTCTCAATTGTGGTCTGTGGGGCATCTCTCCTCCTCACCATTAACTTTTTTGCAGCTCATAAAAGCAATTGATAGGGAGGATAAACGTACAATTAGGGACTTCTGGAAAAAGTTCAACATCTTGGATGGTGTGGATAATATAGCCGAGTCATGGGATGAAGTGGAAACCTCAGCTATGAATGGTTCATGGAAAAACATATGGTCAGAGTGTGTCCATGAATTTCAAGGTTTTTCACAAGCTGAAAGTCTACAGAAAGTTCAACAAGACATTGTGACACTTGCAAATAATGTAAGCTTTGAAGAAGTCATGGAAAATGATGTGGTTGAGTTGCTAGATTCCCATAGAGAAGATTTGACTAATGAAGATCTGATGATGCTGGAACAAGAGCGAGCTGCAGGACAAGAAGAGGATATAGAATCTCCACCCACCCCACTTCAGTTGACAAGAAAGGATATGTCTAAAGCATTTGCACTAATAGAGGAAGGTTTGCAAATCTTAGCTGATAACGACCCCAACCGTGAAAGGAACATCAAGATTGCAAGTGCAGTTAACAATGCTCTCAGTTCCTACACTGAGCTGTACAAGGAGAAGGTGCACCGTAAACTTCAAACAACTTTGGATTAGTTATTCAGAAAAAAGGTGAAAGCAGATGAAGAAGCAGATGATGATTTACAGGGCACCACCAATCCTCACGCAGCAGTCAACATCTTTTGTGGTAAGTACAGTACAATATTTTTATTTATTCCAACTGTATTTCTCTTTATATTACATGTATATCATGAATTATTTAATGTACTGTATTGTATGTGTTTATAAATGTTTATTTTCATTCATAAAAGTGCTTGAATTACGTTTTTGGGGCCTAAAAAAATTCCATAGGAACGCATCTCCAGTTTTATAATGGAGTCAATGGTAAAATAGGTTTCGCGTTATGGAATTTCGCGATACGGTCAATTTTCCAGGAATGGAACCCGTCCGTAACGCGGGGGATGCCTGTATAAACATCAGGCCGTGAACCACCCTCATTGACATTGGTCGTTCTCGGGTATCACCCAATTAGCCAATCATAGACAGCGGTGTGGGCCGACATGTGACAGCTGCTTCCATTAATTAACTTTTGTATGCAGACGACCTCGCCCTTGGTCAACACCTGTAATCTGTGATTTGATAATTCATGATTTCTCCTGGTACCTAAGCCATGAATTATCACGACTCCAATGTATATTCAATTTCACCATAATTTTACTTCATTATTTTAATGATTATGATCTTAGTTTTCAGAAATCTATTTACCATTAGTTTTCTTTCAGCCTCCAAAAGAAGAGCGGGAGTATCCCTGTCCAGTTTGCGGCAAAGTATTCACCCATCCAAGCTCCCTCATATATCATCGTGATTCTACACACAACAATGGTCGAATGTTTGTGTGTCATATATGCAATGCTGCATTTAAGCATAAACAACTTCTACAGAGGCATTATAGCGTCCACTCTGAAGACAGGTAAGTTAAGAATGGTAATTCAATTATGCCATAAATCTTACTAGAAGTTTTAATGATAAATTCCTGTGACTATCCATATCATGAAAAGAGCATTTTTGGATTATGCCAAAACAGTTTGTAACAAATGTGGTTGCTGCTCTTAACCTTCTTATAGTGAAAAACCATAGTAATAATTCTCTGTAAGGTATTCCGTATGTTGGACTGGTTTTCATCGAGTAAAAACAATAATTATTTATTAGTACAGATAATTAACTTTGTGTGAAAACAGTAAATGACATTTCAGAAAATTTTACCCAATGGGTACTTAATGCAACAATAACTGCACTAAATCCTGTTGCCCATGAGTACTATATTCAATTTTACTCAATGGCCTTAGATAAACTTTTGGTCCTCGTTGCTAAATTTGACAATCCACACAATGTTTTGGAATGTGTACTCAGGGTGCTTCTCCCCTCTGGTGGCTTCCACCAAGGGTTGCCCTTCCCTCCCATAATGTTCCTTGTGTGTGCCTGTACCCTAACTGTAGGTAAGTTACAAAATTTCATTATCTCATGAAGGATTCTCTTCTACTTGACGTCCATGACAACGGATACTCATCCGAAACCCGAAAATGGATTTGGGGGAGAGTATCTACGAGCATAAAATTGGGAAGTCATAACCCAGAAGTATCTGTACAACATTTCAGAACATATTCGTATGTCCAGATTGCACTGTAATGCAGAGGGAACAACACAAAGAACTCCTGATGAGCTTGAAACCAAGGAGAGAGGATTCAATAAAATATGGGGTGAACTCTGGTGAGTTCCCGTATATACCTGGGGAAGATGTGGAGGCAAGTGCACCAATGCAGAACCAAAGGATTAGTCAAGAGGGAATAGCAAGTCATTCCCAGCCCCACCACCTCCCACCCAGAAGGCATGCAACATAAAAATACAGTTATATCCCCCGTTAGCCGGAACAATTGGTGCAGAGCATTTCCGGGGTGATAGATTTCCTGGTATTATAGTAAGACGACTTTCTCAAACCCGGAAAAATTCCTTATCCCCGTGAACCTTTTCCGGTTACTGGGAAAAGTTTCCGAGTGTCGAAACTAGACCTCTTCCACAGACACACACTAGCCCACTTCCCTAGAATGTTTCTGGGTGCTGGAGATGTTTTCCTTGAGTCTAAACTACTGGAATCCATTAATACAGTTCTAATTAAGTTAGAAACTTCAAGTCTTTGCTATAATAATCCAGAATAGTTTATATAAAAGTTTGGTTAAATAAATATATTTACAATTTGAAAATCTATAGGATATGGGCATGAATGAAGCTACTGTATGTGTTACAGCAAAGACTGGTATTTTTCACTCCCATGGAGCTGTGGGAGATTAGTGGGTCTTGTGTAACTGACCTGACCTGATGGGTAGAGGATTAGTGGGTTTCATGACCTGAAGATGTCTTGAATATACAAGAAACTTTAAGTATTTTTAGAGAGATTGTGCTAAGTAGAGATTTAAGTATAAATGAGAGAAGTTGTATCCCTTCAACATTACATTACATAAAATTTTAAAATATGGAGTGAGAAAGCAGAAATGTGTGGGTAATTAGAGATATGGAGTGGAAATGAGTGTTGCCAAGCGCTCCTCAACAGCAAATATTTAACTCGCTGTCATGCAGTCACACACATGCAGAGGAGTCATACAATAAGACCTTTACATCTTATGCTTGCTGTCTTAATTCCCTTGCTGGGGGTGTGTTAGTGGTGTCAGAATGTGTGTTTGGTTGTTGGAGGGTGTGTGTGGAAGGTTGTTGGAGGGTGTGTGTGGGTGGTTGTTGGTGGGTGTGTTTATGTGTGATGTAGAGGTGTATGTTTGATCTGTAGGTGGTGTTTGGGGGGTAGGGTCGCGTGGTCAGCCCCCTCCCCCCCTTCCTCACTCAAGCATGGCCAATTGAGATAGGGAGATGAATCCTTAATAAATTTCTACTAAACGATTTCAAAAGATATCCTTAAACGAACTACAGTGATCCCTCGGTTAACGAGCGCCTCGGTTAACGAGATTTCGGTTAACGATATACCTTCCATAAGATTCTTAACTTCGGTTAACGAGCAATCCCTCGATTAACGAGTTTTTTACGAGCCGACTTCAACATGTTTTCGCTTGCATTTGGCGGTCCACCAGCTGTAGTATTAGTCCGCCAATACAGTAATCGGTTTTAGGGCTTAAATTCCTTACTATTTTAGTAAATATCAAGAAGTTTATACTATTCAATAATTTTAATAGTTTAATATTAACTTTTTTAGTCATTTTAAAAATTTTTGAACATAATTGAAGGTAAAGAAACTAGTTTCTGGCATGCCATCCAGCCTGTTAACACACCAGACAGGCTTAGTCTCTCTCTGTTTTCAGTGGAGGTAACATCTTGCTTTAGACTCTCTTCAACTAAATGCTTTTTTTCTGTGTTTCCAAGCAAATTATTGGTCATTTTGAAATTTATTTTACATATTGACAATATATAATGCAGTGCAGTGTTGATTTAAAGAAAATAATCTTGAATTCCACCAAGAGAACTAAAATTTTATGGGTGAAATGGTGCCATGGGGTGACTTCTCTTCCACCCCAATGCCTTCTCTTCTCCCTTCTCCTCCACCCCCATTCTAATCATCATCATCATCATCATCATCATCATCATCATCATCATCATCATCCAGGAGCCTTCTACATACACACCTCAAAGTAAGTGTACTTTTCTACCTTTTTTGTTGAATTTAGGCAATTTTTGGTGAGCTGGAACCAATTACCCAAAAACCCATTGAAACAATGGTTTCGGTTAACGAGTTTTTCGGTTAACGAGCAACCTGCTGGAACGGATTTATGCTCGTTAACCGAGGGACCACTGTATTTATATATGATATAGTGATGGGAATTCCATTCTTTTATAAAGAACAAAAAAAATGAGAAATGTTGATGCTGGAGTCAGTAAAATTAGTTCTAATTTCATTAGACACACCATTTTTTTGTCAAAATAATCCTGAATAATTTATCTAAGAGTTTGGTGAAATAAAAATATTTAAAAAAGCAAAAGCTCTATATGATACTGGCTTGAATAGAGCTGTGTTACTTTTATCCTCTTCACCACTAATCGGCTCGTTAGTCGCTTGGGCGATTGGTCACGTCTCTGTTATGCACTGTTGGCAAGTGTTCTTGTGTACTGTATATATTGTACTACAGCAGATCCTGTCATCTTGGCCTAGAATAAACAGACACTTCACTCAGTTGACTGTAATACATAACTAATCATGTCTTAACACTTGTGATGAAGGTTGGGTGGGAGATTATTGTGTCATATTACTAATCTGACCTGATGCAATGTCAGGTCACCCATTGTCGGGTGGGGGATTAGTGGGTCTTATGACCTGACGATGTCTTGAATGACATTTTTTACCAGCGATGTTTATACATAGTACTATACTGAATGCATTGTATATGAAGGGTACAGGTATTAATAAGCACAGATTATTACAGTAACATATCTTTGTTAATTAATGAAAAACAAATAAACAATATTGCATCATGAGTGAGTCAGTACATCAAACAAACAGTGAGGCGACTCTGAGAGAGAGAGGGATGGCGCTGTCACTTTTACCTCCCAATGGACCCTTCTCCCTCCTGCTTAGATCACATCAAATGTTATAATCTTTACTGTATTTGTGTTAAAGAGATGAATTTGATACCATAATGATCCTCTATGAGACGTTTCCAATATTATATCCCTAGATGACAAGCTGAATTAGAAGGAAAATATAATGAGGGTAACTTAAGTGTAGAAAGTATAGGTAGAATATTTATTTGTAAGATTGTAAAGTGAGCAAGGTTCAGTAGCGTGGCTGATTAGTTATTTTACTGTAATATATTCTTAGGGGGGAAACTTCTAAAGACCAATTCTAAGTGCAGCTATTTATTATTCAACTCAATGGCATGGACACATTAATAGCACATTATATTTACGTTACTAGGCAATGACTCTCGGACACAAACATGAAGTGGATACACTTCCCACCGTAAGTAACTTGCCCTAATGGATTGCTCTGACAGTGACTCACATGTGACCTGAGGGAGGCCCAGCGGCTGGGGAAGCTGCAGGTGCTGCTGGACTATGTCTCCCTTGGGAGACTGCTAGCTGGAGACTGGGTGCTGGGGAGGGAAATCTCCCTCTGGGAAGGAGCTGTCGGCCCCTTCCCTGTTACAATAATAATCCGAATGCGAATGCCTCGTGGAAGGAGCTGCAGGCTCTTACATTGGTGGTCACGAGCAGGAAAGATGTCGTCACACTAAATCAAAATGTTGTTTAAATAGAATAATTTAGTTTGGTACTTGAGAGAAACACAAAATAATAAAAAGACTGAGAGTCTACCCAGATGCACCTCAGCCCATCTCCTGGAATAAACAAAACATTGTTTTTTGTAGTATTATGTTAAAACAAACACTCATAAATCAACACAGCTAAAATTAAGGGATGCGAAATAGTCTGTTTACTGGCTGGGATGATGGGGGGGTAGTGAGGTGATATGTTTCACAGTTGATGCCACGGTGTAGTGTTTATTTATTTATCTGTCCTTAAGAGTGACTTAAGGTTTTCCCTTATAAAATGTCACTGAACTGAAATGGGAGAATATAATTAACATTGCTGGAATTCTTATAAGATAGTGATTAGTTTGAATATAAACATACTATAGGTCGCATTAGACATACAAATTTTAGTTCTAATTTAAGAATTTTATTACAGAGCAAAATTTTTATCTCTTGTGGAAAATATATGACGTTAATATTCAAATTATTCTCTGTCTTGCAAGGATTGCAGCAATGCAAATTATATTCTCCTAAGTTTAGTCTGTGATATTATATAAGATAAAAACTTTAAGGCTAAAACACCAAACCCTGGCTGGGAAGATGGGGGGGCAGGGGATGGAGGGAGGGAGGTGACAGTGACATGTTTGACAGTTGGCGCCGAAGGTCT